TGTTACCCTAAGAGAGGAAAAAATATATGGGGGAAAAGGATGAAAGCATGTGGATGACTGACAGAATCTAAAAACCCAACTAGATAATCTGAAATGCCCTTGACTTGAAAATTATTTTTTTATCCACGAATGATAATTAAAGTTATAACAAGACTATGGTTGAAGAGAGGTCCTCGAATAATTCCTACGAATATGAAAAAGAATGAAGATAGTTGTCTGCATGAATTTTCAGACCTCATTCAGAATTCCAATTACTTATATTTTATGGACTATATAGAGTGAGGAATTATTGAAAACATCATACGTTTATCAATGAAATGATACTATAGTTATTAGTAGTAGGAACAGAACACAGAATAGACTAGAGCATTGCTTATACCAAAAAGCTATAGTAGTCCCAGGATTTATTTTCATGAAATGTCAGTTGATGTTAAGGCACATCATTTTAATGCTGTTGCATTAGATTATGGATATAACAATAACTGGGAATTTCAAATTAATAATAGCTACAAAATAGTCGTGAACTATAAGCTTTTTGTTGAATGAGACTCTGAACTCTACGATAATAACGTCCAAATAATATGGAATAAATTAAGAGTATTTACTAGCACATAATGATGTCACGGAGATAAATGGATAAGCATGTGTACAATACATGGTTGGAGTGCAAACTAAAATAAACTATTTCGAATTTAGATGAAGCTACAAATAATATAATTTTTCATTGTACAGCGTGGTTTTTCGTCTATTTCTTGCAAATAAACCTTTTTCACTGATTACCCAAAACCAAATAGTTACTGTCATGACCTTGAAAAGTTTACAAAAAAATATGGGTTCGGAAAAGAATTAATAATTAAGAAATATACAAGTCAGTGGTCAAGATAAACTTGTTATGGTAAGATTAGAGTTATTTACTAGAGTTCAAGTCGAAACTCGTAGGTTAGATCATCGATTTATTGTGGAATAATAAAACGAATGAGGTGCAACCCCATCAACGTAGACTGGTATTTCCAATATTTTAGGAAACACCAGCCTTTAACTATACAATTACTTTCATAACGCAACATAACAAACAATAACTTAATAATGTTAGCCTGTTAGAATTAGCTACTTTGTTGCACTTCAGGTTATTTGAAGGGATCAAACTATTTATACAGTGTAATACAGCGTTTGTAAGTCAAACCTTAATGCACATATTTTCCTAGTGGTATCGTAAAAAATAACAGACATCTATTTCGCGTTAATATGTTCCTAAAAATACTGTTCAAATAGATCTTTCAGAAACGGAGTTAACTATTACAAACTACAATTTTACTACTTACTAATGCTTACGATCATTAGAAAGATTGTTAGTCAAATTATGTTTCAAATGCTTTTGTTTTTCATCAAGTTCCAAATGGGAGATTCATGAGTATGTAAAAAGTAAAGATATGATAAATATCTCTCAAAAACACATATGCCTTATCAAATTTATTTTGTTTTCAAGACGATTTAGCTTTGTTGGCCTAGAACGAATAAGGTTGTTTTTGCGGCTGTATGTTTTCTACTCTTACTCAAAAGATACATGTGAGGTGCTGGAATTCGAATTAAGTGATAATATTTGACTGATCTAATTTAAATAGTAGTATTCGCATAGCAAAAACATTGTTAGATTGTAAAATCAACTCTTAAGTACCTTTGTTTCTTTGGTCTCATATTGAAGTCATTTGTTACAAGAGTAGGCTTTTGATAAAGCTTATTCTATATGTAATCTGAATAGAATTTGGTGAGTAGGGTAATTAGTATAAAAGGAAATTTAATGTGTTCAAAGTTCTCACTGAACTATTCAATCAAATCTAAGAATGAGGAATATCTGTGATAAGATTGAGAGTTGTTGTTTATTCTTCAGACTCTAGACTAATTTTATTACATCAAGACGACAGAAACAACACTTTGCTCCTTGTGTTTTAAAAATATAAGACGTTCGTTATTCTTACTTAAGTAATGAATCATCTTTTCGAACTTCATATTGTACAATTTTGATAAATGATGAAAGTATTGTGTTGTATGGGCTGTTACTATGTCTAGCGCTCATAGGTTATTCTAGCCTCTGGACAGACCAATCTATTCATTCTACTCGAGCCATATTTTTACCCTGTTACTTATTGGTTTAGTAACCCTGACCGTTTTTTATATGATCGTATGTGTGTGAATTTCTTATTTTATTCAGCATATGTCAGTAACTTGTTTTTTGTTTGAGTATAAATATCGACTAAAGCACCATTTTATTTTGCTTCGTTTTCCGATCAACGGTTTTACAAAATATACGAATTCAAAAATTCATTCTCGTATTTGACTTATTTAATTCCGTTATTCACTAAGCGAGTTAAGTCGATAATTAAATGTGAGGATTGGCTACATGTATAAGTCAATAACAATCGGTCATACGATCTAATTGGAGTCAGATCACGTGTCACTAAAAGATCCTTACGAAAGAGACTTCTCCTATCCGTTTCGCTTCGCTCTCTCCTCTTCGCTTCCTTCACTCCGTCTCTCTGATTGTTTGTTCAGACCAACGATTGTACGAAATATACGTATTCAAGCTTCATTCTCGTATTCGACTTGGTTAATTCCGTTATTCTCTAACGCGATTTTAGTCGATAGTTATATAGGAAGATTGGTGGCATAAATATTTCAATAGCAATCAGCATACGATCGAACTGGAATCAGATACAGGGCCACAAAAGTCTCATACAGAACGAATTCATGATGCAGATCACTGAGACCTACTTCATCCAATCACTCTCAATTTTCTTTAAATAAAAAGATTTGGTTATGCTTACGAATCATTAGTTTATTTTTTTTTAAAAAACGGGTAACCACGTATTTAAGTGAGCAGAGGCCTACTGTAACGATTATCACAAAGTAATCACTAGAATACCTATACCAGCAAATAAACGAAAAACGATTTGTGGGAATTTGAATAGCCACCAAAATAAACTAGGTTCACTAGTTGAGAAAACAATACCTATTATTGTGCAAATTGAATAAACTATGAGCGAGAGGCATCTGTGCTACTACCCAATACTATTCTCTTGCGGTTAACACAAAGTGGACACATAACACTAAGCATAAACAGATAAATCCGACTAAGGAGAGAAACAGCTATATTCTATTTAATACTCAATACCAGGAAGCTAAAAGTTCAGTGTTATTAGTATTATTATTAACTGAGATTATATCACAGAAAATAGCTCTTATTTATGTCCCAGGTGAAAACTTATCACTTCTTTCAAATACTCATACTATTCAATTGACTGTAGTAACTTAGAATTTTATATTACACATATACTGACATGACTCTTTTATTATAGAAATTGTGAACTAGTTGCTCCCAGAAATTTCGGACTTCCAAACATGTCATAATATTGAAGCTTTGATACATTTAAAAGAAACGTAAATATTTATTATTTTTTACGTCTACTGTTTTCTGGACTCGACAAACTGCATTAAAACAAAGTCTCCTACATGTTTATTCTTATTTTTTTAGAATAATTTCGATAAATAAACTTTATTACAAATCATAATATTTTGTCCAGAATCATAAGATGTATTGGGATAACTAAGTTAGACAGTAAACTTCCTAATCTGCATTGTCATTATTCAACGTATTAATGAGTATTTAGCTGTCGTTCAATGTAAACTTTATTGTCTTATTGCAAAATAATATATCGTCACCACCTGAATGAACTGGTTATACAAATCAGACGTATCATGAATTTGGATTCTTTTATGGACTTCGAGTTTATCAAAACATAGTAGATGAAGTAGACATTGATGTTTTCCTCTTTCTGTTTGTATTCTTGTAATATGTTATATTAGTAATCCTCCCTATCTGATCTCTTTGTTTCCCCAAATGTGAAACATTGAAGTTTTCTGGTGGTTGTATCTGTTTTTTATTCTGAAATTTTCACAATTTTCCGACAGATTATGCACAACTTTGAGTTTGCCTCGTAATGAATCTACTAGATGAATAGACAGAATATTGCAAACAGATGCAATAGCTTGTAATACGGAACAACACTCTGTCCATGAATGTATTCTCTGATAAAAGATAACTGTTAATAATTGACGTATGACGACATCAGCTACTAATATAGATACTTAAGCACAGGTTTCATTGATTATAAACAATTCCTGAGATACAGGGTAAATTACTGTTACAATTACAGTTACCTCTCTTGACGATAAGATGTTTATTGACAATAATTAATAATATTCATAACGGATTGTAGTAATAACTAGTTAAGGACGATGGGTTTATGAAAGTGATTTGATACTCACATTACTCGATATTGATACACTGGGTCACATGTTCGAATCCAACTTACATAAGTCGATTCAAACAGGGAGGTAGCTATCATCTGAAAAGTGTAGCTTCAAGCCAAGTTTACGCGCCAACTCTTAGTTAACGATTCGGGCTGCGTTAAAAACTGTAACTAGACTTTACATATCATACTCATAAGCACAATGCTCACAATATTAAATGAGCGAACTACAAATCATATTTCGTTCAATTACTTATGTTTAAGTGAACTTTAATCATCCTTATTTTGGGATTAAGCATTCTATAAACAATTATCATTTTGTTAAAAAATACGATAGTAATTTGCTCTTTTGACATCTATCCTTTGAAAGGGTGGCTGTGTCGATAATCAAGATTTTATTGATAAACATCACTTGGCAACACTTTTCGTCGATCCTAATGATTAATCGAATATCCACACACAAACATGAAGTTTTCACCTTTTATTTAAAAAAAGGCCATTATGATATACAGACTATGTTCACTTATGAGAAAACTTTTTTCCTAAAGACTCTTTAATATAGGTAAACAACAACTGATATTCATGTGGAACGGTGACTTAGTGGTTCAAGGATTTACATTTAAACAAGTAGATAGCGAGTTAAATTTCAACAATAATGTAACGTTAGCTCTCACAAAAAAAAACCCTACAGCTCAAAATCGAGTACATAAACATGTATTAGAATAATGAGTTACATGATCATTCATGTCAACAAAAGCAATAATATTGTCAAACTGAAATAAAAAGATTATGTTAAGTAGGAGTGACAAATAAAATTTGAGTAAGAACAAAGCTTGATGAATTGATGTGTTCTATTAGGCTATGTCAGTCATAAGAATAGGTTATTTAGTGAACAACAATAAGTAGATACTACATTGTCAATATAAATGATACGAATATTCATTCTGTTTCTTCTACAGGTTAAACGTTGAGAAACGTGTAAACACATAATTTTTTGACGCATTAGGCCTAAGAGCATATCCAATGTTCTATTTTCAACTACTTTAAAGGATCAACAATGTCCTCTGCTTATTTAGAATAAATGAACCATCGTTATTGACTTAATGACCGCAGAAGATAAATTATTTTAAATACTTTTTCACTATTACTGACTAATAATAAAGAGTTGAAAGACAATACTTAGAAATCAAATGGTTATAGCCACAAATTGGGCTGTTACTACGTTCTCTTGAGATGAATTTCATGAAAGAATTTATCATAGTATCCACATTACAAATGTAGCGAATCCCCACTGCAAATACACACTTCGTCATAATCGATCTCAGTGTAATCGAATCACGCAAATTTGGTCTTTTTTCAATCCATTTAATCGTCAAAACTCAACAATTGGTTAATTTTTTTCGTGATTGGAAAGAAATACACAGTATATGGTTTCAACTCATTCTTCAAAACACCATTATTTCTTCCTATTAATAGGGTTAATTGAACAGAATTAAGTGAAGCAGTTTGAACTATGAGAAAAAGAAGATTCATAATACATCTCTATTCAGTTATATTTTACAAAATACTGTGACTGATCATCTTTGAAAATAAATTAATGAGAGAATTGTAGAAAGTAAATAACATCATTGGGAGTATGAAAGTAACTAATAAAGTGTAAAGCAAACGACTAACAGATCAGTATTCCGCATGTTTGCTTATTTCATTATAAGTTTTCCGTTAAAATTTAAAAAATCATTAAAATCCCATTAATTTTCTCGAAGTAAAACTTCATTAGTAATATATAATTATATTACAAAAACTCACTAGTACTTTAGAATTCAATGCTGGAAGAAAGGTCATGTTGATGACCCTCATCATATGCAAAGAACCTAATCAACAATCTAAACATAGTGTTCAATAGCTTATTTCTCATAGTAAGTTTTTGCATCTGAATCAGATTAAACAGGGCAAATAATTTACACTGCGAAAAAATATATTGAAGCTTTATACTTCTATGATAGTTTGTATCAATGAATAGTAATTTATCAATAAACTAGGTTTCTACTGCAAAATGTAGGGAAATTATTTCTATTTTTAAAGATTTCTAAACAAATGGATAGCTTGAAATGAAAAATACTGACATATGTGTTGATAAAAAAACATATAAAAAGTTATAACTTACCATAAGAGATTTTTCTTTCACTAAAATATGTCCTTTTTCTATTGCTTCACTAATTGGATAGATTTGATTATGAACAGGATCTCGAAATGTACCAGTCTCCATGTCCAGTAGATGACGGCGAATCGCTTCTGATTGTGTGATCTTACGTCTACTAATTGGATCTATAACAGCTAATATATCATCAGACCGACAGCTATGTGTGAACCATGAATCATTCAGTGTTTTATTTATTAAATTATCATTATGTAAACCTGGACCAAGCCATGCTAAACGTGTTATAAAACGTTGATTAATTAAATAAGCCAAAGAAGGACGATTGATAGATAAGCCTAACAGTAATTGAGCCCCAACTGGTGATATATCAATATTTTTCATTGTTTTCATATTTGGCGACAATATTATAGACGACCCACTAACAGGATCTGTTATTTGTCCATATGTTATAGTTGAACCTAATTGAAAATCTTCACATGGTTTTAACCAACCAGAGTTAAGTGCTTCCAAACCAGTTAGCTCACGACCATCTTCATTGAATAATCCACACCCATGAGTTAATAACTGTATAGAGTGTAAGTCACACAATCCTGAATGCTTAGCTGATTTTCTTAAAGAGATACGTTGTTGCGAAGAGCTTGTACCGTGTTGACGTGGGTCTGTGCTAGAAAGAATAATCTCCTCTTTCGATGTATCAATTAGTCCTGTAAGAATAGCTTGTAATATAGGATGTTGACGATGCGTCTGATTTGATTCCTTAGCAGCCAGTAATAAACCTACAGGCGGCGGATACGATTTAGTATATATAAGTCGAATATAATTATTGTTAACTGCATCCCACAAATTCATAGGTTTATTTTCCAAAATTATAAATCCGGACGGCGTGATTAAGTTTGTATTCAGAGCTTCGACTAAAGTCAATACTTGATTGGGATGGGATTGCATAAGAATTATGGCTGGTTGATTTCCAACTATCATTCCACGTTTAATTGCTTCTGGAAACAATACGTATTGACCAGTGTGGGCATCAAGAATACCCACATTGTTTCTAGGATGTTTTTCACTCATGTTCGGAGCAGTAAACGATATTAGACCAGATAAAACAATTTCAGCTAGACAAGGAGCTTTAGTTAATAAGCCAGCAGCTTGAGCCACTTCCACACCAACCTTCGTTCGACTAGAAGATGAACTTGATCCGAGCCAATAACCAGATACATCATCAACAAGACCTATTTGAACAGCTTCAGACAGACTGACACGTCGATAAGAGGTAGTATGGTAGTCACCCACCTGGTTTTCAGCAGGTAGAATGACTTCTGGGACAGTATTGTCTAAAAGTCCATTTTTAATTGCATCTCTGATTGTTAACTCATTTTCAGTAAACACTAATGAATTATTCGATGCTTTACTTTTGCTATTAACTTTTCCAGACTTTAGTAAACTGACACGTAAACGTCGTGTATTTGGATTGTACGCACCAGCAGCTAACCAATCAGATAGACAAGGTTTCCAAGATATATCTGCTTGACCAATGCTTAAAGCTTCATACCATGTCAAGTGACAATCTCGGAATTCTACACACATGCCACTAGATAGAATAGAAGCTAAATGATGAAAATCTGCCTCATTTATGAATCCATCTGAGTATAAATCAATAATTTTTTTGCCATATGGCATGACTACACCAGTCTTTGGGTCGATATGACGATCGATAGGGTTACGCGAAGGACTAGTCAGAAAATCTGTTACAGATGCACTATAATCACCAATTTTTATATTTCTATTTAAAGCCTGAATAGTATAGGCAGTTAACCAGCCACGATCAATAGCTTCAGACCAGGAAATGGCAAGTGAACTTCGATTTTGATGACAGTTATGCCCAACTAAATCAATTAATCCACATCGTAGTGCATCTCCTAAGCAAATAGTTTCACCGAGTCCATATGTTTCATTCTCACCAGCTAAATTAGTCACAAACCATGCACCAGTAGTTGGAAAAATTTTTGGTCCATATAATTCACGTGCTTTGGATATTGTAGTCAATGTAGCTGCTTCCCAACCAGTTGGGAGTAAACACACCGGTTGACTTCGCACATCATTAAGATATACACTATATTTGAGTCCCTTTTCCCCGATTAGTTGATTAAAATACGATAAATCTGAATGGTTTTTATCTTTTGAATTATTTGCAACTTTTAATGGTAATGTGTGGTCTTTTCCATTTTCTTGATACTTTGATCGTGATACCAAGGGAGAAAAAGACGATTGAGTTTCCTTTAAATAATTGTTTAATTCATTTGGCCATTTGCCTACGTAGAGTTCACGATAAGGCTTTACAAAAATTGGACCAGATAAATTCATAGAGATAGGTTCTTCGGATCGCAGAAGCTGATGGGAAAAATAATAATAAAAGGAATTACGTGAAAACGAAAGCATGTCCATCCTTTACTAATAATAGACTTGAATTTTTCGAAGTATCGACTTGTCTCCTCTACGCTCAAAAATTTTCTCATTCTCAGTACACATAAATAGTCAGATATACAACGAAAGGGTCATATGTGTGTTATTTCAGTAAGATGGGAATAAAAAGTCTGGTGTATTAAGGTAAGAGATATCTAAAAGTGTCTTACAAAATATGATTAATTGAATATTTTTAGAGAATCTAATTCACTAATGAGAGTTTGTGCATTTGGCTTTCATCCACACTACTTGTAAATGAAGGCTAGTGATACTACTCAGATGTCCAAACTGAAGTATATGGAGCGAAACTTGAACATAAAGGACTTAACAGTTAGTTGTCTTATTCTCTATGGTGATATGAAGTTTATTTATTCAACTGACGTAAAATCTGGTACAACTAGGCACCAAAAACAGTATGCGTCATAGAAAAATACTTGTATGTAAGCTGGGATACTATCCACCAGTCCAAACCTAACCAGTTGTTTTTCTTCGGGGCCCACATCCAAAGACTATGACCTAAACGTCTAATCTGTAGGGGATAAACATCAGAAGCTGTTGCTCTATGGCAGATAGTGACCAAAAATAGATCTATACTCCCTCGGGATCCTAGAGCCCATGTATACCATTGGTTTGAAGTCAGAGTTTACCAACTCCCCTAGGTGAACGCTCCGTATCCAGTGATACAGTTTGCGTGACGAAAGACCACCTTTCGTCCTTTCAGGTTTGCGATATGAAATACGGCAATGTGAGTTGATACATACTCATACGAGGTTCTGTATAATGTCATTAATGACAGGCGTGTGAAATCATAAATAGTATTTGATAAACATAATTTTACAAAAGGGTAAAAATGAGTGCATAACCAAGAAACACCATTATTTTATTTAGAATATTTCAATAAGAACACTGAAATCCGCAAATATTAGTCATCTGACAACTAAAATCAAACAGTAACAAAACATGTGCTTACGATTCTGATCAAATTATTATTATTATTATTATTATTATTATTATTATTATTATTATTATTATTATCCGAACAGAAAAATTACCCGATTTAAACAATTCACTATATCATATATACGACGAGAATGTGTATTAAATTGCTCATTCAGCTGATCAGTTGTTTGTAATACTCTACCCATATCGAATAAACCATATCCTGGTGACCATTGATAATCTCGTGAACCACCAGCTTTCTGAAACACACTCTCAACTAATTCACGATAATTTTGAGTATGTTGCGCATAATTCTATAAAACAGACATTTATAAAAATGAGGAAATTAATAGAAAGAATCTCTTTTAGTCAAAATAGTCATGAATTTTAAAGTAACACTTTGTTAGTAAGGATGATGATGATTAGTAGAAGGATTCGAAGAGACATTGAATTCATAGTGATGATTGAAAACTAGTCAGTCGGTCGATCAAACACAACGTGCAAAATAATACATATTTGTATTCGTTTAAGTTGCCACACGAAATCAGAACAGAGGAACGACAGAGTAGCATAAGTAATAGCAGTATTAGGTGTAGTACAAAAAACTAATCATAAAAGATATGAATGATGCAGAAAAATATGAATTACTGGGGTAAAAAAATTTAAGATAATTGAGAAGCTTAGCATCCAATCGAAGACAAAGAGTGAATGAATAAACGATTATAAGCTATATTAGCCGACATTTCGAACTATTAGTTATGATAATCAAGTAGACTACAAATTGGTAGTCTGCATCTACCTACACACCTCAGCTGAACACTAAATGAATTGAAGGAATAATGTTACTGGTTAGTAGTTTAAATAAAGCTTAAAACAGAAATACTATCCTACAAATACTAGGCTTTCTGACCACCTTTAGCAACAACACAGATATGGTCCTCTTCCTCCAAATACAAAATGTTACTTCAGGATTGGCTTAGGTTATCACCTGAATCAATGATGGGGAATGAAGTAGTTAACAGCTCCGACCACTTCACTTATCTTGGGGGTCTCATCAGTACTGATGATTTGGTTTTTGATGAAATCTCGATACATATTCAGAAGGTTTGGTTAGCTTTTGTCAACTTGTGTCTCTTGCGCCGTAGGTGATATATTCGTCTGTCAACCAAATGACGAGTTTATTGAGCATCACCTTACTCCGTCCTACTTCATACTGGGTGAAGCATGGCTATTACGAGTAGAGGGTATTCGATCATAGGTGTCTTCGAAGCACTGCTCGTGTATTTTGGGACCACCAAGTAAGCGATGGCTGGGTTAGGGATGGTGTATTGGGTAAAGATGGCAATTCCATTGGTAAGGCAGTAAATCATTAACTGAGGTGATTGGGACACACGTTACGTATGCTTATCCACCCCTTATCTAGACGGGCGATGTTATATATATATATATATATATATATATGTAAAAACCTGATTAAACAATGAGCATTTTCTTGATTATTGGTCATTATTATAGAAAAAACGACTTAAAATAACTCACAGTTAATGAAGATATTAAATGAGCTACTTCTTTATTCAATTGTTCCATAACATCTGAATTAACTTGCAAATCTGTTAGTAAATCATCAGACTGTTTAAGAATTTTTTTTAATAAACTAGGGTTTTGTACAGTAATCATATTTGTATCGGATGATTTTAATCCTAAAGACTGAGCCATTTCACCAAATGATCGCATACGAGAAGAGAATTCACTTGACCACACAATAAGTTGACTGGATAATTTTTGATAGTTTGAGAAACAGACCAGTGATTCACCAAATGATTTGAGTCTGTTAACATGAAAAAAGATTCAAATGAATTACAAAATTCTGTTGGTTTTGTGAAGATCCGATAGACAGACATCTTCACACAACCTGGGTTTGATGTGTCTAATAAAAAATTTTTTACTCATGATAGATTATCTGATAATAATCGACTTTTTTTATCTCCCATCATAACGTCAACTACTAATTCATTAAATAAAGCTATGTCGATTACAAACATCTTCACTGTAGAATTTGTAGTTAGATAGATGAATAGTGTCATTTCGATAAAAAAAACAACTGTTACAAAGATAAACGAAGCGAGATTGTCAGTCTCAAGCAGATGGATGCTTACTTTGCTTAGTGAAAAAGGTCAATACTGGCCCTTAATGAAGAATCATTACGGTTCTGTTTATCGATAGTATTGGTTTGCTTAAGTTGTTAGATCACTGATATAACCTTAGAATTTTTTTAACTACAATTTGGAGACTCATTCCAGTGATTACGAATGCCTTTAATAATAATAATAATAATAATAATAATAATAATAATAATAATAATAATAATAATAATAATAATAATAATAATAATAATAATAATAATAATAATAATAATAATAATAATAATAATAATAATAATAATAATAATAATAATAATAATAATAATAATAATAATAATAATAATAATAATAATAATAATAATAATAATAATAATAATAATAATAATAATAATAATAATAATAATAATAATAATAATAATAATAATAATAATAATAATAATAATAATAATAATAATAATAATAATAATAATAATAATAATAATAATAATAATAATAATAATAATAATAATAATAATAATAATAATAATAATAATAATAATAATAATAATAATAATAATAATAATAATAATAATAATAATAATAATAATAATAATAATAATAATAATAATAATAATAATAATAATAATAATAATAATAATAATAATAATAATAATAATAATAATAATAATAATAATAATAATAATAATAATAATAATAATAATAATAATAATAATAATAATAATAATAATAATAATAATAATAATAATAATAATAATAATAATAATAATAATAATAATAATAATAATAATAATAATAATAATAATAATAATAATAATAATAATAATAATAATAATAATAATAATAATAATAATAATAATAATAATAATAATAATAATAATAATAATAATAATAATAATAATAATAATAATAATAATAATAATAATAATAATAATAATAATAATAATAATAATAATAATAATAATAATAATAATAATAATAATAATAATAATAATAATAATAATAATAATAATAATAATAATAATAATAATAATAATAATAATAATAATAATAATAATAATAATAATAATAATAATAATAATAATAATAATAATAATAATAATAATAATAATAATAATAATAATAATAATAATAATAATAATAATAATAATAATAATAATAATAATAATAATAATAATAATAATAATAATAATAATAATAATAATAATAATAATAATAATAATAATAATAATAATAATAATAATAATAATAATAATAATAATAATAATAATAATAATAATAATAATAATAATAATAATAATAATAATAATAATAATAATAATAATAATAATAATAATAATAATAATAATAATAATAATAATAATAATAATAATAATAATAATAATAATAATAATAATAATAATAATAATAATAATAATAATAATAATAATAATAATAATAATAATAATAATAATAATAATAATAATAATAATAATAATAATAATAATAATAATAATAATAATAATAATAATAATAATAATAATAATAATAATAATAATAATAATAATAATAATAATAATAATAATAATAATAATAATAATAATAATAATAATAATAATAATAATAATAATAATAATAATAATAATAATAATAATAATAATAATAATAATAATAATAATAATAATAATAATAATAATGTACACCGACCGATCCAACATACCGAATATACATAAATAAGGGATTTTGATAACTGAGAAATCAAAAGGATTGTCAATTTACTAAGACTTTTGCAGTTTGCATAACAAACTGATCCTAGTTAGACAATCATTGAAAACCAGGAAACGATTTGAATAGCTGATTTTCAATGTGAAAACAATGAAATTCAACAATCTCTAAAACTCTCCCCCATATACTAATAATTAATAATAAGTAGTGAATAAATTTTGTTACAAATAACAAGGAAAATTATTGTTCTTATTGTGATTTATTTCTCAAGTGATAGGAAATTTAATTGTGGCCCAAAAAATTTAACATATCCCTCCCTTCAATAACTATGAAACCTCTTGTTCAATAAGAAACAATGAAGTTGAAATTTCATTATGAATGTTTTTATTATATTTTTACAAGTTTATCAGTGCTTAGATAATAATGGTTTGATTTCTTCTTTTCCATACCCTTATACTTATTAACTTAATCAATACCTTATACCTGTTACCCCTCGTGGAGAAGCACAGGCTACCCACCAAAATTCTCCACCCAACTCTGTCCTGGGCAATTCTTTCCAATTGTTTTAAATTGCTATTCGTTCTTTTGATGTGTGTCTCTAATTGCCGATGCAATGTGTTCATTTGTCTTTCCATTTTCCTTTTCCTTTCAGGATTTCATATTAGAGCTTGGCTCGTGTTGTAGTCTGATGATTTCTGTGATGTATGCTTTATACACCCCCAGTGTCTTTTCCTGAATTTCTCTTCAGATGGAAGCTGGTTTGTTTTTTCCCTCAGCAGGTTGGTAGCATCCGGCCAATGTATTTGGAGTATCTTGCGTAAACAATTGGTTATCAATACCTGTGCATTTTTTATTCTGGTTGTAGTAGTTCTTCAAGATTTAGCTCAATACAGTAGAACTGTCTTGACATTCGTATTGAAGATCCTCACTTTGGTAGTGGTTGACAATTATTTTGAGTTCCATATGTTCTTCAACTCTACAAATGCTGACCTTACTTTGCCATTTTGGTCTTTACGTTTGCATCGGATTCTTCTCGTTCTCCGATGAAGCTGTCCAGGTACGCGAAAGTTTCCAAATCTTCCAGAGCTTCTCCGCCAACTGTGATTGGATTGATGCTCTCTGAGTTGTATTTGAGGATCTTGCTTTTCCCTTGTGTATGTTGAGGTCTAACTGTTGCAGAGGCTGCTACTACACTGTCTGAATTAGTTTGTATATGTTCCTGTATATGGGATAGAAGAGCTAGATCATTTGAGAAGTCTAAATCATCTAGCCGAATCCAAGCTGTCCATGCTACCTCTGAGATGTGGACGTCTACATAATCCAATCAACCAAGAGAAGAACACTTACAGGGGAGTAATATTTTAGATAAAAAGAAACAATTTAGTAGTTAAAGTTCTTGGTCATTAAATCATAGGTTGAAGGTTCGAACTCGAAAAATCTACTTATATTTGGATAACCTTTTGATGTAACTATCCTTCAGACAAGTTTTATTGCATAAAGTCAACTACTTCAAGTACTAATTGGTATATAAATTGTATTACAGAGATATTTTAGTATTTCCCACCGAACGTGTTAGCCTATGGTCAATAGGTTAAGAACTAATTCTAAAGATTTTACTTTTTGTTACATTGTAATAGTTGAGTTTCTTTAAAAATTATGTAAAGTAATTCTAAGGAGATGCTTTCCATGCTCATAGTTCACTAATCATGTTTTCATCTCAATCAGAAACAATTCATAAATTTAATTCATATATACTGGTTGTTCGGATCTTCTCAATGATGTTTAAAATTGCAATTGGTCAGTCTCATTTGGTATATGTGCATCCTGTGAGGATCGCATCGATATCACTAATTCACAAGGATTATAAGCAGATTTCACTGTTATCTATCACACATCTCTGCTTCAAAATATAAATTTTTTTTTGGAGAGGCGAATATTTATTTTACACATATCGACTACGTAATTTATTAAGTGTACTTTCTTCTTAAATATGATCCTAGTAACATTCATCAGTCAGTTCATAAACAATGAAGGATCTCGTGCAGATATACATCAATCTGAATTACCATATCAAATTAGCTCAGTGAGATTAACTGAACAAGATGAACAGAAAATGAATTCGAATAGTTTTAATAATAATGATAATAAGAAGGATCAAAGATAGCCAATATGTTTTGAAGATAGGAATAAAATAAAACAATAAAAAGTATGAAATAATATTTAAATTCAAGATTTAGGATAAGAAAGGGAATGAATGTGTCTACATTGTCTACAACCAATTATCAGTAATATCACCTAAGGTCTAAAGACACTGATCACTGTTAACTGCACGAACTCCAAATTTCCAGTTTGTACTTTATCTTATCTCATGGTTTAATACCATGTTCAGGGCTAACCACTATGCCTTAGTTTTTTTTACTTTCTCCTATACCAATCAGTATGAGGTCCGGAGATATGCAGTATGTAAGGCATCTCTAACATATTTATAAGCCTTATTAAGCTTTGGTGTACGGTCAATATATTTCTGCTTTATATTGATAAACTGCAGTTTCCTCCACTAACAAAAGAGGAAATGTTGTTTCAGTAATACAAATCGAAATGTGAATATTCAAATGTTGTCTGTAATTTAATTTACATGCCAATAAACCGACATAAATTTTATGAAGCCTTAACGATTTTAAATTTATCGGTCCAATTAATCTGTTATGCCTATTTCTAACACTTGACCAAGCCAACAATACAGAGGGTGAAAATAAAAGTTGCGTAGGTGGCAGCTAACTGCATAGTCAATGATAACATTTACAGTTGTATGCGTACTTTTAGTTGACTAGACTGATCCAGATAAAAAAATATATGGGCGATCATCTTGATTAGATAGAGTTAATCCACTTGCCGTAGGCGTAGTGTGATCAGTCTGAATTTATTCGATTTACCGATCATGAAAAATTTTCTAAACACAAAAAATAACTATCACACAAGCCTACAACTACACTTATGATAAACTAATTTTTATGAAAAAAGTTTATACTAACAGACAGATATCTGTGAAACGTACAGAAGGAAACAGAATTTCAGAAGTTATTCAACCAATCAAAACATAATAAGCTCACCAAGTGAATAATAAGCTCTCGAATTTATTGAAATAATTAAATGGTTTTATGTATAGTTTATCAATCAAACATACTAATCATTTGACCGACAGAAAATATATGCACATAAATGAAGTTGATTCCTCCTGACCAATCAAAAGTCTTCGATTACTTGACTCCCGAAAAAACCAGATAGTGTTGATGGGGGGTATGAGAAAATTAGTCATGGTCTACGGCATTTTGATTGGTGTACAGATGAGGATAGAATAAAATTGGATGTGTGTAGGTATGTCCTAAAATTTATCCAATGCTCTCACTGGCCCGAGTGAAATTATAGCGACCGTGGTTGTTTTCACTAACCCTAACGACAAATTTTTAAAGGTATACCAGTGAATACTTAAAAAGGGTAGTGATCAGTTTAAATGTTATCGAGATATAGGCTCAATGTATCTAGGCCGAATTTTTCCCGCCAGAATATACAGCTATATAGTATACTGCGAAACAAGTTATCTGCCTTAAACTGGATTCCAAATTAAATCTAAACTAATGATAGAGTAATTACTAAAGCTCACTGTTATTAAAATAGTAATCACTTTACAAATTATTGGCTTTTTATTCATCTTAAAATGATGAAAGTTGATCATACCACTTATAAATATATCAATATTATTGGAAGACAGGTTTAAGGAGTCCAAAGAGGGAAGGTGTGAGTGGGTATGAGTAATAAACTTGAACCACAGGCAAGCAACAGCCTACTGTGGGAGAGGACAAACCAGTTTCTAGCTGAAGAGGAAATTAGGAAAAGACGTTGGAAGTGGATAGGACATACATTACAGGAATCACCAAACTGCATCACGAGGCAAGCGCTAACCTGGAATCCTGAAGGGAAACGGAAAAGAGGAAGGCCGAAGAACATACTGAACCTAGAATTAGAAGCAGACATGAAAAGGATGAATAGTAACTGGAAAGGATTGGATAGGGAGTGCTGGTGGGTGTCCTATGCTCCTCCACGAGGAGGTAACAATCGTAAGTAAGTAAACAGGCATTTTACTATTATTCCGCCGACCCAACATGACCAAATGAAATGTTGAAACTATCTAGATTCCAATTTCGGAGGTTATTACGAATATAATTTATTATCTGATGTCATAGATGTCATAGTAGATATCATGAAAAATATTATTTTAATACCCCAAAAAACACTTGAAAATTACACAAATATTCACTCACTCTTGTTCAACTTCTTTAGTTGCTTCAGCTAGACGATGTTCAGAACAAGCAAGATTTGATTCTAAATAATGATTATCAGTACAAGGTGATAAATGCATCTTTAACAGGTTTGAATTTTCACATAGGTTAGCAGTATCATACTGGAGTGTTTCATTAAATGCCTCATTGGAAACCATAAATCTAGTTAATTGTTGACTAAGTAAATCTAGATCAGTTCGAATTTGAGGAAGACGCTCAGCTACCGACTAAAATAATAATAATAATAATAATAATAATAATAATAATAAAGTTAGATAAATGTTTCCTTAAGCAGATCACCTAACAGTCAAAACAGTCAACATACTTATTATCCATAAATCTAGTTATTTCTTGGATTTCAGCTTCGTAGTGTGATTAATAAAAGGGAAGCAAGTATATCTACAGTTTGAGTAAGTTCCCGGACTAGTTACCACAAGCACATATAAAACAAGCATGACTGTCTACAATTATAATAAACTATTGCAACCGGTGAAAAAATTTAATTAATTAAGACCGTTCTCATATATGGCATTTTTAATACGTCAGGCTACATGACTAAATGATTATTTTATGAGGGAAACATGTTCATTGGTAGAGTTCCTGAGTTGATGTACTTGATGAATTTAAATAAAATCGGATTATATTAACTGTTTTCACGTAAACAATTATACAGTAAACTATTAAAAATTTTCATCGTGCAAAACGATACATCAGCAAACAGTATTGTTTTCAATCAGATATATTACACAATTCATCAAAGAAATAAAAAGTGCAAATTGATTGTTCAGTTTTAAATACATACGTAGTGAAGAAGAGATGCGTAAAACGTGAAGAGAAACACAGGGTAGAAAGAATTAATAAGATCGCCCATTACATTTTCTCTGAACAACACAGCGACAGAGGTATTACAAGATCCTTTTAGATACACACACTACGTTTGTTAGCTCGAACCACTGTATCTTGTACTATATGTCAAAGACAAGGTCGAAACTTGAACGCAAATCACTTTGAATGCTTCGATTCTGTCGAGCACGTAATCACTATGGGAACAAGTGTGGTAGTACGCAACTGGGTATGAAATTTTAACTGATTCAGCAAACTACGAGAGACGCTTGCAAACTAATTGGCTGATTTATCTAGTAGTACGGCCATTATAGTTTGGTTGGTCTCATATTTTCATGTGTCGGAATAACTCTTACTGTATATTAGAGTAAAGATTGATGACGATCTAAATGAAATCAATATTATTCTCTAAAATATGTTGTTCTAATTATTTATTAATCAAAACATTTTGTGATGAATATTTGTCAAATAACTACACAAAATACCAGTAAAATTTTATGATGAAACGCACCTTTAAATCTCGATGAGCTCTTTCCACCACTGTAACACGAAGACCATCTGGATCAGTTGAACTATTCAAATCATCAAGTTGTAATAGACCATGTACACGTACTGCACAACCTAGTAGACATAATTCACAATCCGTTAATATTTGATCAGTTTGTTCTAAACGGGCGATCCATGCGTCAGCATCAGCTAATCGACAAGAAAATTCATGACCAGTTAGTGCTAGTTCACTAGCTGCTCTATGTAGAGCATAAAGACTTGTACTCAACAGTGTATCTTGTTCATTCAATGATCGTGATTGTAACTGACTATTGATATGTTCTTCTAATCCTGTACATTGAGCACGAACACGAGCTAAAGCATGAGACCATTCCTATGGCATAATTGTTTTTTGTTATTAGAAAAAAAAAGTGAAACAATATGTTAAAACTAGTTAAATAATAACTTCTTAATTGGTGAAAAATAATTTGTGTGAAGTGTCTATGGAGATTGCTGAATGTCATAGGTTATGTCACAGACTGAAATCAGTCAAATAATCAATGAAAATCGGTAGGAATGGACAACTGTTTTCCAATATGGGGCTCGTCACAAACTTGATCACATGGTCCTAGCAAGAATGCAAGTCACGTCCATCAAGTCTCTTAGCAATTGCTTGGTCTTTAGACCATTAGTGAGAATTCAATACTTTATATTTCGAGATATTACCCAACCATCTATCAATGCTTTGGTAAATAAATGTCTTACATACACCATGGTTAAAGTTCACTGGTTATTTATCTAAGTCTAGTTCTTGAAATAAATTGGGCAAACCTAATTTAAAATGGATGAAGTTCAAAACATAATGACCAATCTACTCTCATATGTCAGTGGATAGAATATAGGGGTTGATAGCTTACAATAAGTAATGAAATACGGATTACTGTTAGTTTTTTTCACTATCGTTCATGCATGATTTGTTGTTACATAAAAGAAATAATGTAATTTTATCTATGTGATAAATTAAAGTGAATAAATCAAATTAATTTTCACATACACAAACAACATCGGATTTCTTAGAATACGTTATTCACCAATAATAAGTAGTATAAAGTTTAACCTCCAAATTTCTTAAAGGAAGTTTTATATGGCAAGTTAACAAGTCAAAAGTACAAGGTCTATTATACCATATGAATATTGGGAGAAAAACAGTTAAATATTTGAAAGATAAGAAGGATTTTCCACATGGTAATGAAAAGGAAAATCTATTCAACCTGGGTTAAATCTTACATTTAAATTATTTATCATACAACACCAATCTTGTGTAACCCTTTACTTCAGATGAAGTTCATATATTAAATAAATTCAATATAGCCTGAGAGATCGCACGCCTTTAACCACTCAATATGAAATACATCTCAAGATATTGCGATCAACTCATCCAAAATAACATTTTCTCTAAGCACTATCTGATAGACGGGATGTGTCAATGGTTAAGGAGTTCGACTTTCAAGCAATAAGTTGCAGGTTCGAACTCCATCCCATCTACTTCAGTCTGGGTAGCAGGGTGGTATCATTACCCTACACATTCATGGAGTAGCTGGAGACTCAGTATACGAATATGTAACTGGGAAATTAACTAACAAAAATTACCTAATCATTTAAATATTCCGTACTTTTAAAGATAATAATATATCAATGATCAACTGTATCTTCTTTCCAGTTGCTCATATATTTGGAGATTTTGTGAGATTCCACATGTATATAAAACATAAGCTCAATGACTTATCTACAATTTATTAATTAAATCGTGAAGTAATGAATGTATGAGTAAATCATTGGACTTGCAACCAGTTGGTTGTAAGTTCAGATGGCCCTCACTCACACAAAATAGTGTAATGTGAAGAAAAATCATGTAAATTAATCTGAAATCGGTTACTGAGTGCTATCAAGTAGAATGCATGAAAACGACAGCCGTAATGCATTATGTAAACACACAGATAATTGGATAGGAATTTAATAAAGTGAATACTTTGTTTAATTATTCAAATATAATATAGAAGAGATATAGAGGAAATTCATTTATGTACACAGATGCTTGAAAATCGAGATAACGAGAGTTATTTTTTCTTAACAACACAGATTTACGGTATGCAGTTCTAGAGATTGTACTGACCGACAAACCGTACGTCCTGGATTCAATACACAGTGGGGTCATCGATGCGCACTTCTGAAAAAGTCTCATTTTAGGAGAAAATACCTGTTCAGTGCATCTTGGTTTTCAATGGTTTTCTAACCTAGGTTTCCTCATGATCTCAATAACTTGAGTTTTATTTATTCACATATAATTAATTAAATAACAGAGTATTTTATAATACACATAACAACACAGTGAGAAGGAAAAACTCCACAAGAGAAAAGTACATAAAAACAAAATTCTTTCATTTTTCTTTATACAAAAATACTCTCATGACGAGAAATATTTAATTTAAAATTATACATTTTATGATTATTATTTTTTCCAAATTTCAAGTATATTTTTGTAACAAGATACAGATTAGTTATTTTGTAAAAAAAAATGTAATATGAAGTAGGTTTAATATAATTTTGCATCTAAATTATTTTAGTTCAAGTGTTTAGTACATTTCTCTTTTCCACCAAGTACATGTTTGTGTAGTTGGCTTTGAATCACGATGTGTGTTTTTTAAATGACTAGTGATATCACACGGATGACATATGTACTACATAGACAGAAGTTTGAACTATTATTCTACTGATTGAAAGCCGAATGTTTTAACTGTTGTATTATTGTTTATTGTGTTCAAATATAGACTGGAAATATACAGTCAAATGTCTTAAAAGCGTTGATCATACACAATGGAACCTCTGAGTAATTATAATTACTGTGTTAATAGTTGATAAAGCTATCAATCTTCGTCGACATTTGTTATTCAGTATTCATTCAGCAAATCGCTAATTATAAACCTCCAAGTTAAAGAAATAATTAAAGCTAATGAAAGTTGTAAAAAAAAAGACTGACCTTGTGATCTTTAATACGAACTTCCATATCTATTGATCTACCTGGTAATGGTATTGAATTCGACTCCCTAAGACGTACTGTCAACGTACTTAACACTGTTCTCAGTTCATCGATAATTGAATAAATTTCTGATGGTCTGGTCAATAAACCTTCATTACCAGTCTTGTCATCAGTAGTTTGAACACCATTCACCTGTTTAATGCAACTATTTTGAAAATCTAGAAAACGTTGCTTAAATTTCTCCACTTCTGTCGCTGGTACATTAGCTAGTTGCAATTCTAAACAATAACGTTCAGCATCACGATAAATTACCTGAATAAAAAAACGTCAACATATGAAAAGGATAAACAGGTTCACTTACAATGTATTTTGGAAGAGAATTCAGTAATTTCCACTATAGTTTTTCATTAGATAATGAGATTTTAAAAGAACGCTGAAAAATTTCTATTACATTAAAACACAATTATATGGACACAGAAATGAAAGCATCATTGGAAAAAATACGATTGGGAATGGCCGATTAATATGAACAGTTGTGTATGTAGTAAATTGGAGTTCTTAACTAGAAAACATCAGATAACAGGATCTTCGGCTTATTTGGAGAAAAGGTAACTACTGCACAACTTTAAGGCGAAATAACACAATTGGAATTTCACACAACAGCATGAGACAATGAGTGAATGAAAATGTACAATTAGTAATTAAGTTTATCAATACTAAATAATCCAGATTTATACTGATTCCAATAGGAGTCGTGTCAACAGAGTAAATGACTTTAATTTCTAGCGATTTGGATTGTCCTGTCGTTGATATTTTGATGCGCTGCACAAGTAAGTGGGTATCTGAACTCTGTAGCTAAGTGGATAATAGGGTGGGGTTTGAAGAAAATGGCAATAGGTTCGAGTCTCCGAGAGAATCGTGACTATAGGATGCAGGTACATCTAACTGACAAGTCCCAAATACAACGAAACAGATGTCTTGATTTCAATGATGTCCATATTTCATCTATTTTGTATAAAAGGGTTTATGACTGATTTAAACATGTGTCGTGTTAAGTATCATTCAGAATAAAATTTCATAAAATTCTACAAATATTTTAAAGAAAATCAGATACAAAGTTAATTAGACAATTATGCTGTAAAATCACTATCATTCTGAAAAATATTTAGTCTAATCAAGAAATCTGGCCATCTTTTTTTTTGGGGGGGGGGTTGAGGATTAAGGATTGTTATTAATTTTTCTGTTCTACATGAAGTATATTTTTGACTCAGCACTTGATAGTCTACATAGAAAGCACGAATTAAAAGCTTTATGAACTGATATCAATTACATAACGAATTAAAACACTAAGGGATATTAGATATATATTTTATTTTGGGATGAAACTCGATAGTAGTTTGTACTTATCAAGTCTTGCGATAAGAACAATAGCTCTCAACCAATGAATCGAATGGTCTGCACTTTTCAGTTTCATTTCAACGAAAAATGTCTACCTAGTTCCTAGCTTGGTTAATCTACTGGCTACAAGCTTTTAATTAAAACCTGAGGAAACCCATCTCAAATTAAATCATAACATAAGTACCAGATTATTGTAGAATTATTTCATAATCAGTATTTGAAATAACATGATAACACAACAACATAATAGAATAACGAATGAAAATTAAAACATGAACATCACAGCTGGATGGATATAAGTGTAAATGTGTATGTGAATTATTCTTTTCTTTAAATAAAGTTCAAATTCTTTTAGTTAAGACTTTATATGATATGAAAGATAAAGGGTTACATACCAAAAAAACTTCGGGTTAAACATAATCATGTGCTTTTACCAATAATGGTAAGTAATGCAGAAGCGGTACATACAGAATGTGAGATATAGGAAACAGGGGAACTATTAAATAATAATAATAATAATAATAATAATAATAATAATAATAATAATAATAATAATAATAATAATAATATGTGATTCATGTGAAGATATAGTGTTATTAATTTTAAAATATATGAGTATCATTATATTCATTGATAATAGAAGCCAATAACAGAATGTAGGTTATTGATATAACTGAGTGAAGTGACACGACAATAACGAACGAATTACATAGAATAACACATGAATAATCGATAACAACCGTTTTTAACTTAGTACTTTATATTTAACTGAGACATATGAATATAAAGAAAAACAATAGCTGATCTGTGATTGTGAAGAATTGTAGTTTAGTTAAATGATAAGTATTTACTTGAAGGTTTAACCAATTTTAAATCATAATGAAACAAAATCGCTGTATCCTTCACACTGATAAGTTCAACAATAAACACACTAATATAATAGGATTGTTTATATCACATGTCCTAACAATATGACTGGAAATTTCAATGAAAGAAGCTTCAATATTATTGACCAACAGCCTAAAATACTGGTGCATAAATGAGCCATTTTGTTTTAATATGATACTCGTGTTAACTGAGTACACTTATAGCCGAATAAGTGATGGTATTTTCAATGTGATTCGAAAATGAAACTTATTAATCCTGTTTTCTAAATCACTCTATTGGGTTATAAACAAAGATGGATAGTGGCTAGCAGTAGGATCCAGAACGCGCGTTTTGCATTATTTGGGATTCGTCAGCTGGATGTATCTGCATCCGAGTTGTTCACTCCGGGACTAGAATTAAGGCAATATCAATACAATCTGTATATATGCCAATAAAAGACAGATCAATTGCAGTCCAAAACACCAATAGGAAGATCCAAGTAAACAATACCAAGTGAATTTAATCTATTGAGTGTTTAGAATTTTACGAATAATGTATTTAATTCTTATTTAGTGTTATATTTTGTTTTATTGGTAACTAGATGTTACGACTAACACAAAATGACAATTCAAAGATGATAACTTTATATGAATAAAAGAGATAACGAAACGAAAGATTTCATGGTTCAAGAGAAGACATTTTATTGCCTGTATGCATAATTCCAACTTATTTTATTAATTTAAAATTATGCATACAGTACAAAGTAGCCAATAAAAGTAGGTGTCAATTACGAAGCGTTCGCATATTGCAAGGAATGGAATGATACTGAAAAGTGAAAGGTCACCAACAGAGATCCATTAATTTAAAGTCAGAGTTATAATCAATTCTTAAAAATGAACCAGCTTGACATTCAATAGTTCAAAACACCTAATTTACATATTTCTTTGTTTCGACCCGTAAATTACCGTAATTTTAATAGACCTAGTTTAATTATAAGAAAAAATTCCCATTTCATAAAAAAAATGTACCATTTTTTAATTGAATAGAATTTTTTGAAGGGAATTTTTACTAACCAACGAATTGATGATAACGAGGGGAGCAAAAGACAATTAATATGTCTTCTTTTTGAGATTTTACAATACCTTGAACGGAATTAGACTCATGACCTTCAGGTGAGCATATCGACATACACACAAGGGCTCTTCCATTATTATTTCTCTACAGTAGTTCAAACGTTTAGTGGTAAAAAGTATTTGATTGAGATCATGAACCGATTGATCTCAATCAAAAGCTTAATAATCTCCACAACCCCTATACTAGTAAAAAGTATTGTTCGTGCAATTTTAACACTAGACAACTGATTACATCAAGAAATAATTTTCTTGAAGGAAGCCGTTTATACATATAATACATAAGTGTTCAGTATGCACTCTTGATAGTGAGAATTAGAAACCGATCTTAGTAGAACAAGTAGAGAAAAATAGAAAGCACTGGATAGCTGTTTAGTATTTGTACAGGAGACCTAAGCAGTACATATTCAAAACCTTACCTACGATCGAACTCAGAACCCTCAATTCTAAAGGCGAAAGCTTAAACTATAGGCAACTGAGTCGTCATCGAGTGGTTCACATGTCTAATTTTGATTGATCCGCAAAAAATCTTCAACTATCTACCAATGCCATTAATACCTGACATGCGAAATGGTTAAACCCCACTAGTTACAGATTCTCATTGGAACCCCGGGGACTCTTTATCGAAATCAGTCACTTATTGAGGGCAGGGTTATTGTTACCATGTGGAGATAGTTTTAATTTTGAAAAAAAAGAAGTAATAGTTGACGTGAAGTATTTCTGTAGTTTAATAATTATTGGTTCCTCCCAGGTCTAATGTATACACTGATATAAACACATGAAGTTGACCTAATTTACTACAAAACAGACTGTAAGCAATGAAACAAATTGAAGTGAGAAAGAAATGACTAGTGAATTGTAAAAAATGAATTTAGGTGATAAATTATTATTTTTTTCTTATCAATAAAATAAGTACGTACTTTCGTAACAACAATGGCAATTAAAAAACACACATAAACATTTATCAATATCAGAACAAACCCACCCACTAATCAATAGGATCTCAGTAATCAAGAATAATAGGGAAGCAACTCGCTTACACTTCTTTCACTTTGCTTAGTGATATAATAACGAAGACAAAATGGTGGTCATGACAGGTAACAAAAAATCAGTCCGATCAAACTATACTTATGCATCGTGTTGTGAATAAATGTAGGAGGAACTAATCACTCCAAGCAATGTTAGGTGGTCAGTGAATCGGCAGAAAGTTCTGGGTCTAGGTGTCGTAATGGTTGGTACTGGTCAGGAAAGAGTACTCGCAATTTCCGGGAAACTGATACTTCCTGCAAAATTTGAATCCTAATAATTTAGTATTACATGGAGACTGTAGTGTCTGTAATTCAACTACTATAACCACCAAGCTACCAACACATAAATAAAAATCGGAGAAATAATGAATGGAAAGGGTGAAGTTTAAAATTTCAGCAAATAATTGTTTCAACTCCAAAACGATGTTATTCGAAATATTTTTTAATGAAATAATTGACATAAAATAGTTTATCTCACTTTTCGTATATCCATTTGTTGTGGAATATTATACTGAAGAGGTGCACCATCAATAAATTTAGACATTGTTACAGTTAATAAATGTCCATGTATTCGTAAATTCAATTCAGACCAACATGTTTTAAAATGTTGCAAAGTTGTAATAATACGTTTAGCTCGATCCATTGCTTCGCTACTAGGCCAACAAGGCAGAAAACATGTCAAAGGAACAGTTAATGTAGATCCATTAGCTGTACGAACCTATTAAATGAGAAAGAAAAGATAAACAGATATATATATATATATAATCATAAAGGGGGAAAAATAGAATTTATTTCTATATAAATACTATTTAGAAGAAACAGACTATTTTTTGTCGGTTTGGACAGTTTTATAAGTCAAAATAAATGAGAATAAAAACAGAACGATGAAAAGCAATAAAAATATTTAATTTATATATACAATAAAGTATTTTTGTAGTAGAGATGATTAACTACAGCAAACAAAGTTTTCATATTCAATTACTCTTTTACGATTTAATGATGTATAACCTTTTAAGTTCCAATACTATCATAATAAAAGCAACTGTGAATTGACTGAAGCTATGGAGGTTGAATTTTCTTTTGACAAGTGATCAATTTGGATATACAGACAGTAAAATAGTGTACTGCGACAACACTAAGAAGAAGTATGGTATTTTAGACTGAAATGAACATGGTAAGAGTAGCGAACACATGTTTTCTATCTTTAGAATATGAAACAATGCAAAAAAAATCGAGAACTTGTATCAGTTATAATTTTAAGCGTGAAGAATGAATTAGTGAAGTATCCGATTAAATAGTCCCCATTTCGTGACATAGGTGATATGAAGCAAAATGTATATGATCATTAATGCTGAATCAGAATATGTATTTAGTATCTTGTAGGAAAAAAGAGTAATCAGGTGAGATTATGTAATTGATTAACTTACCTGAAGCTTATGATTTTCTGGATTTTCCAATATTATGAAAAAATCACCTTTATCAAAATAACCTGTATTGTTGCCGACTGGCCAAAATGTTGGCTCTATAATACTACTTATACTTGCGTTTGCAATTGATAAATGACTTGTATTAGCGGAATTAACGATTGATACATCACCGGAATAGGATTGATTATCGGAGAAATAATCTTTCGGTTGGAATGAGCATAGAACACGTATACGTCGACCAATCAAAGTTGTTGAACTGTCTCGTGCATCCACGTGACTTGGTATTGGTGGGATAATTTCTTGACTTATGTCTACTAATTGAAATATAAATGACTCTTGACCAATTACACGAGTATGAAGTTCCTGTGGAATAGTGTTGAGAGAGAGAGAGGGAGAAAGAAGAGAAACATCTGAGATAAATGGATCAAGAGTGATAAAAAAATTATTTGTTCATTATTTTTTGGGGGAAATAAGCGTTTCATAGAAAATTCAATTTGTCTTAAAATTCGAATAATTCACTAATGAATGATACTGTATAGATGCGGTGAAAAACAACAACTAATCCCATTTAAAAAATTGAGATGATCTATTTCATTGTTTCAAATCACGGTGCAACATTAATATGAGCACCTAATCTTATTTTTCGGCTAATACATTAGTTGCTTAGATCAATAAACAAACAGATAATATTTAAAACCAATATTACATCAGTTTTTACTTCTGAAACCCATTTATATGGGCAAATTAATTAACTCCCCTATTGGATTATTCAGTTATTATCCTTATTTAGTATCTAAACGCAAACTATAGTAGATACAAAGAATAATTTAGATTGATAATGATAATTAAAATAATATGAAATGGTGATGACCTGAAGATCTCGCTGGAACAATAGATCATATTCATTTTATTTTCATTGCTCTCTCTCTCTCCTTAAGTAGTCCAATAGTAGTAAATTTTAATATAATAATTATTTACAATTTTATATCATTTTTATTATTTGTTATGTATACAAATGAAACTGGTTGACTGATTGAAATTGTTTTTTTTTAGAATAAGTAATTTTATTTTGACACATTCACTAACGAAATCATGTTATAACTGAAGACAAGTAGTTATTAAAAATTTCTGTAGTATAATAAATACAGTTTTAAGTGATTCTCATTTCTGAATTCAATAATAAAAAATGAATATGATTAGTCAATGTACTCAACAGTACCCCTAGTAAGAAAATGTACTTCAAAATAGAATTCATATCACAACATATGAGTTTGAATCAGTCATTAAACACAACAAATATAAATAATCAATTAAACAAGTGAATGATGGAGTTCCGACTTGTAGGAGGTAATACAGTTGACAAAAATGGAATTGACTGGTCGTTGCGATATATTACGAACTCATTGAGACTGGTAATTTCGATATTGAAAGCCAGTTCAGTACTTCTAGATATTGAACATTACTATATGACTTAAGTGTCCTGGGTTCGACCCCACATAGGGTCGTGAATGAACACTATAGAGGAGTCTCATATTGGGATGAAACAGTAACCAAGTATTTCATGGTTTGTAATAACTTTCTAACTAAGAGAAACACTTAATTAAAACTATTATATTCAAATCTAGTCGACCAGATCTAAACACAATCCCGGTTATCTTTAGTCATACACAGCTAATCGACATAACCAATCATCAAATGTATACATTTTTAGATCCAAAAACAGTAGTAATAACTGAATATCGTTTTAAAAAATCTCGTATTACGTCTATCATATCTTATTTGCAACATTTCATCTACACTTTTCTTTGCTAAAAAAAGAAAATGTAATTTAGATTGTTACTAAACTATTATGTTTACAACATGTTCTGATCAAATTTATTGCAAAAAGTATGCTAAACTTCATTTCTATCTTTCTATTTTCTAAAATTCTTTAGATTGTAAGCAAATGATGAGAGAATTTAATAAAATAAAAGATTAATTCATATTATTTTACTATTCAGCATATTGTTCTATCTTTTCTAAGTTATCATGGAATATTGACTTTATTTTGTTTCGCTTGTTGAACTGTGACCAATTTACATTATACAATTAAAATAATCAATATTATTGTTTAAGTTGACATGTAATATGATTGGTGTATTGTAAACTAGACAATTAAAGGAATAAACTATGATCAACATTGTGTACAATCAATTACAAAAGTACTATAAAGAAAGAATCATGAAAATGAACGATAATCGGTTAATTTTATTGAATTAGATAGTTGGTTTTCAATGTGTCAATCAACATTAATCTTATTGATTATATAGATTTAGAAGACAGATTAATCTTGAAGCCTGTATGCTTATTTTAAATGATGAGAAAATATCAATTTTGTAGCTATGAGAATGTGACTAAATTGTATAAAGCATTAACCTATCAACGACTTGGGTATTAGTTTGAAAAAAAAATATGTTTAACCTACTGTATGTTCGACAGTCGGGTGATAGCTTCAGGAATCATTTAAGGATTTTTTTTCGAGAAAATAAAACAACTAAAAAGAGGAAGCAATGGATTCCTCAACTGATCAGTTCTAAAGAAAAACGGGACGATAAATCATATATCTGGACAGATATATATAAGCATATTTGACTTTAAACTTTTGCTTCACCAAGGGATCTATTTTTCTTAAGCACTTTCAAGTTACGTAAATCGTTAAGGGTCCCTTAAAAATGTTTTAAAACTTTATTGAATGATTGTCATTAAATTTTTAATAACCATTCTACATAACAGTGTTAGGATATGTGTTTATAACGAGGATGCATTGTTAGACCAACATAACGTGCTCTTTCCAAACGTATATCCAAACACAGTTCACCATGATTATTGAATAGTGAATGAAAATTAGTCAATAGCTTGATTGGTGAACATTTAGTCAATTCTGGTGATCGATCACCACAATAATCCTCAGTAGAAAAAGTTAGTATGGAAATAGAACAAGCAAACTTCAATCGATTCATTTAAGAAATGAGTCAAAATCCAATAATTTGTAGTAGTGATTATGATAAAGTCTGTTACGTAAACAGTAACTATTCACTTCTACTCACTTGTAATTGTTTGAGAAGAGTTTCACCTTGTTCAGTTGTTGTTGCATTTAACGTTGATTCATAAAGAGAACGTAATTCTTCTAATGATGTAGTTAGTAATAATTCACATTGTTCAACATCATTGAAAAAACTTTGAAATCGTGCACTCTGTTCAATATGTGCTTCAAAACAATAGGTTAATTGTAATAACCAAGCCCAATGACGTTCCAAAGCATTTAGATAAGTCTAAAAGTGAAATATTTTAACGAAAAAACTAAGAATCGTAAAAGTAATGGTATAACAAATACGAGTGAGATTTAAGGAGGCTACTCATTTCATCTAACAATAAAAAAAGTTTTATAGTCAGCATTATTGTATCGTAAATGTCATATCATGCATAATAGTGAAAAAAATTGAAAGAAAATCGTAACATTTCTTTTAATAACAAAACAAATAAGTAGTCGAGTTGTAGGAAGCCTAAAAATTAATCGATAGCAAAAAACGGATACAGAGAAAATATAGATTTTGGTTAATAACAGAAACCAAGATGTGTGTTTTGTCCTATTTACAATTCGTCTGTTCAATGTATCTTCGCCTATGTATTGGTATACACAATGAAACTCGAACTTAGCACCTATCATTTCAAACGTTGATGCGTCACGCAATAAGCTATCGAGTCCCGATACCCACTAGCTTGTTGAGTGGGTATGAAGTTATTTGTATAGATTTGTAATTTCTCATTGTTGATACATTACAAAGGAGATTGCTCAAAATTGGTTCTCAACATTAACAACGAAGAATTAAAAAGCCTTACTAACAGAGAATATAGCTTGAAAAGAACAATTGAAAGTGAAGAGTTTGGAAGGAATAACAAAAAAATGGAGATCTATAGAGAGAAGTAAAGAACGAATCATGTTGGCTACAGTAGTCAACAATAAGCGTTGTGTTGACTCGTGGATCACAATCAGGAAGATTACAAACCCCCCACATGGTTCGGTTAACGAGTTCATGCGTGAAGTACCTCATTCCAAAAGAAAAGTAACTATATGCATAAGTCTATGTAACAAACCATAACGAGGATACCGAATACAATGTCCAGACAAGATATTGATAATAAATATTTTAAGTTGAAAGAAATATTACTATTGAAAAAAATAAGCTGCGTAAAACACAAGAAATAACTGAATAGTTGTTTTGGTTTTCAAACTAAAACTCTGTGAAATAGTACAAAAAAAATAATAATAATATGTAATGTACAACCACTGAATAAGCAGCTCTTCAGTTAACTTGTTACTCAAACTCAAGTAAGCATTTCTAAACATGGATCTATAACTTAATGGTTGAAAGCCAAGTGGTTTGATCATTAAAACCACCGCACCAGTCTGTATTATCAATAATCTATTGATATTTTGGCAACAACTGAAAATTACCTCAAATGTAATATATACAGACAGACCAACGATAGATCCAGTACTTACCTGTACAAGATCAGTTACATCATAATTTTCCAATTGGATAGATGAGCCTAATACACTGAGTTCACTGTAGACAATTTCTTTCTCATGTATCTCATGCATAAGTTTCTAGAATTCGGAAGAAATAAGCATATAAAATACTTATTATAGCCAATATATTTGTTCAATAAAAATATCTCTATACAATTATATGCAGTAGAAAAAACCAGCCAGAAATATTTATGAAGATACGTCAGATTAATCTCTGAAATACTTAAGAAAAATATGTTTGCATGTTCACGCCGTTATGTTTGAGGAAGAGGTTGAAATGCTAGATTTTTTTCCTAGAAAGGAAACAATAACATAAAGATGTATTTAAAAAACTAATTTTGTAGAAACTGATGAATTGGGATATATACATTGATACAGTCAGTCATAAAAACCTATCCTTCATAAGGAAGCATATGTCTGATGTCTAGAGCGAAAGTATCTTTTGTTGATTGGTGAGTGGATTGAGGACGAGGATATTCGACTACACTAAATATGATTCAAATTTTATATTGTTTTCATCTTCACTTATTGACAGCATTTTAGTATGTGTTAATAAACTCTCGTTTTGATTTTTATTTGGTAATTGGCAGTTAGTTGAATAATTGAGTCAAATGTATTATGATTTAATGAGTCTATTGATCTAGCATTCAGGGTAATGAGCTAATGCTCAGTGCATGGTCAAGAGAAAAATATTTTTCCCTTCATGAAAATAACACAGACGGCTAACTTAGATTATATGGAAATAAATGTCTTGTGAATGGGCTTTTTCAAAAGATTTGTAACTATTTTATCAGCAATATCTATCAAAACCTCAAGATTTATCAACAGTATGTTTCTTGAAGTCATAAATATGATTTTGCAAACTGTTACATATTTTAATTAGCACAATATAGTTGAAATCTGGTTTCTACAAAAGATGATCTTATGATAAACAGCTGTTTCATTAAGCAATCTAGTGAACACATTTTACGATAGTGTGATTACGTGTAATTGAAAAGGGTTTTCCTCGTTCATTGAACTCAAATATAGAAGTTTTACAGTTGTGCAAAATTCCTAGTTGCTTTATTTATATAATTATCAATCAAAAATGTAATTGTGTATTACACTGTGATACGAATAATCAGGAAGAAAACAATGAAGTTGACGATGACAGATACAATAACGACAATTAGGAGAGAATTATATATATGTATTGAACGTTCCTCGACTTCTCTAAGCAAGATAAACTTGTACTGTTGACAGTAATTGAAATTTTATCATTGAAACTCATTTTTAAAGAAGAGATCATAAATATAATAAAGTTCAAGATTCCTCGAAGAAATGGGGATAATACTGCGAAGAGTAACCATACTAAACTATATACAGAGTTCTAGGTAGGAATGATACAATCAAAACGAACGCTCGTTTTAAAAATTACACCACACATTGTTTTGAATATCAAAAGCTTCAGACTACGAAGTATTATAATCAGACTGGGATAAAAAATTGAAGATGATTTTCATAAATAACCTACAGACTCATATTTTTTCCGCTTAAATATGAACTCATCAGGAAGTTAGTCCAATTAATTGTTAGCCATGTTATTATTTAGCAACTATAATGTAACTTGTGAAATGTATTGGTAATCGCTCTACATATTTCTGATAGTGTAGTTTACGAGTATAAATTTTATAAGCACTACATAATTCAACTGTTTCAACCTATTCAGATCTAAACATTCTGGTGGTAATTGAAACTCAACCAAAAAAAAGTGAAAAGGAACAGTTTGTTCAGTATGTTATTCACTTGGAGTTTCATTTAACAATTTTATATCTAATCATAAGCACCTCATATGAGAATTTATTATTTCAATACAATAATTCCAATTATAATCAATGAGATCTAAAACAAAACAAAAAAAACAACGTGCATTCCTTAAATTTCAATTCTATGAAAGTCAATAATCCATACTGTCCTTACTAAAAATATTTTCAAGGGACTATGTATAAAATGCAAATAGAGATCGATAGGATCGACATTTTTAATCGAAGAGAGAGCGGAGATTAAACACTGACAACAGATAATAATAATAATAATAATAATAATAATAATAATAATAACAATAATAACATCAATAAAGGGGTGAATGAGGAAGAATAGGGAGAGATATGAAAAACAGTGACCTATCTATTAGAAATGTGAATGCATTATACACAAAGAATGATTTAATAGATTTTTTAATCAGAAAAATAACGGTAATAAGTAGAAATGTTTATAAAAGCAGTTTAATTGTGTATTTTTGTTTTCTTTTTTTACTTTTTAAAACATCTATACACATAAGTACGTATATACATGTACTTCAAACAAATAGTTAGATGAATCTATGATGGTATAGATAAATGAAAGTGTTGCGAAAGCATAAAATAAGTAAACAATAACAGGTACCGGTATCTAATATGTTTAGTTCGGTACTTTTAACATGATTATAAAAAGCAAGTGAATTGACAATAAGCCATAAAAAGTGTTATCGGCTTTTAACTTGAAAATATTTAACATTCACAACATGCTTATATTTAGATTTGACAAATAAAGATTTCATTTCTTTACATTCAATTTTTTGTGAAGTAAATCATATCACACTAAAAGACAGTTTACAATTATGACATGCCGGTGTAGCAATAATTACACACTGTACAGAGTATAAAACTACACAATTTTTTTTTAACCTTAAGTTAATCATCATTAAAGTGATAAATAACTTGTAGGTGTATAGACTACGATAAGAAATCGAATGGAACAATTTAATACCTAGTAAAATATAGATAATTATATTGAGAAGAAACAAACGCAAACTCAACGCATTGATTGAATGACAAGATAGAGAACATACATAAAAAAAGAGAACAAAATTCAGTTAGAAAGTGCTTCAGATCACAAGGTTGTATGTAACATGGATCGATCGATCGGTTCAACAATCAATTATTTCACTCATTAAACAAACATGCTTGTACACACAGTAAAAAAAAACGTGTAAGAAGCATGAAAGCAATTGACATAAATTTATGTTTCTTTTTCATTCACGATAAATCACTTTGAACTTATAATTCAATAAATGAATACACGTTTATGCACTCGGTTTGGAGTTATACTTTTTAAAATTCTTATAAAGATTATCTATATCAAATGGCAATTAAAAACTGAATTCGGTAGGACAGATCCTGAGCATACTAATAATCCATTGGTTGAAAGATAAATAATGTAATTAGTCTAGTGCTATTAGATGTGTGAGTGCCTTTCACTTCCCGGTTGTTTATACTATAAAAGGGTACTTCTTCTTGAAGTTTCTGAAAAGTAGTGGTTTCCGAAAATTGTCATTGAGATCGCGGAATTCAGGGAACAAATACTCGAAACCGGTCACGCACTACCGTTATTCGAGTAGTTCCTGGTGTGTTTTAAACGGATTACTGGTGGCAAACATATCCGTGGGGCAAAGTGAGCGTACATTTTTTTAAAAGTTGGAATTTTTTACATTTTCCGTCTTTTGTAAAGAAGAAAACTGGATGGAAATGCAGGTTTTTCGTACTCGTTAATTGTTAATGCTCTTACTACTTAGTGGAATTTTGTGAAAAAGTTAACTTTAAGAAAAGATTATTTTAAATTAGAATGAATAATATCAAAGTTCTTTTGAGTATAATGTTGATTGACGGTGCAGAAAATGCAACCGAGTGACAATGTATTCAATATTAAGTGTGAAATGTAAAGTGGATGGACATGGACCATCATTTTTAGCATTGAACAAAGTGTTTCCAAGGTCCCATAGTACTGATGCTTAATGTCACGAGAACTACGTCTCTTTAGCTTACAATTGAATTTGTTTTCAAACATCAATGAATAATGAACAGAGAGTAAACATTTATGTATTCGGTTCACAATTGATAGAATAATTCTGATAAATTACACCGATTTTTAAATGTCATATGATTACTAGTCTCCATGATCACAATTATATACATATGTAAACATATGGAAATTTAATGTAAAGCAAAAAAATCGATCAATTATACAAACAACCCACTTGAAAATCAATTCGAATACGATCTAGTTCATTATGATAAATTTCAGTCCAATCTCGAGTCACCTCGAATGATTCATGTTCCCTTAGCCAAATTAATTCATTATGGGCACGTTCTACAAATTCCAATAATGACTTCGACATATTTCGACGTTTTAATGAAGCTTCCTAATAAATATTGTAAATAAATTGCGATATTTAAAATAGAAATGAGTAAAATCTAGGACAAGAAGAAAATAGCGAGGAAATTATTCAGTTATAACGGATTCAACTAAATCAGTTTACGAGACAACAAAATGTCTTACTATGATACAGACATTGAAATTTCAAATTTACCTAGTTAATTAAATAACTACGGTCATTTTTATTTTTAAAAATAATGTATAAAAAAGTGATTAATTCGTTCAGAAGCTATTTTGATAGTTCAACCACAGTTAGGTTCAATAAATCTGACTCTTATAAGGTATCTTAGTAAAGATATAACAGTACTATAATAGTTATTCAATTAAATGTTATCGATTGTCCTCAGTAGTTATCAGAGTGAAAACTCATGAGTATTGCGTTTTATGATTTCGATCAAGTCCAACGTATACAGTACAGTATTCATTAAGGAGTAAGGACTACAGACATAGTTAAATATAATTCAGTAGCCAAGTGAAGAACTTTCTTACTGAATTTTATTAAAGATTTTATTAGAATGCAGTATGATCGAATTCATATATTAAAAAAATATTCGTTGGAAAATAAAATAAAACACACGATTATTACAGCTTATCTAATATTTATCTGAAGTGCCTAAGATACGTGTTAAGCACTCATAATCACCGTTTATGTTAACGTACAATACTGGTCGGCATAAAATTGGGTTGGAAGAAGGCTATTGGCGGGTAAATTAAAACGTAACATTAATATATGAAGTCACTGACTATTAGACTGTGCTGCGTGCAGACCGATTAATATGAACATTAGCAGTGCTAGACCTTAAGTGATACGGTTACACAAGTGCAGATGTATATATCCTAAATCTTGCTCTTAAATCATGGGTTCCAATAATATTTAATGATATTTATAGCCTTCTTTCAACCCTCCACAACAAAGTTAAGTCTTAATATAAATGATATCACCAGTATTTCGGCTAAATTTTTATACATCATGTCAATTTACGTTTCCTGTATTGATATAGTGAAGTAATTTGGACCGATATAAAGTTGTGTCCGGTTCTAACGTTGCTTTGACTGTCTGACTAATTCAATTCATAAATATTTATTAAATCTATCTGTATGTGTAAACATATATTGATGAGTTACTATGAATAAAGATAATTCACTGATTTACTGTTATAGCAAGAAAATAATAATCATAATAGATAAAATAGAAAATGTTTCTACCGATTACCATTAATTGTTGATAATTTTGTTCAAGTATTTGAAGTGATTCATTAAGAACTTGTTTCTCTTCTTTTGATCGTGTCGGAAGCTATTTAGGCAGAGAACAAAAATTATGTGACTAATGTAATTGATAATCGATCGGAAATGAAACACATCGAGTTTTAAAAAGACTAAATAGGAATTAGGTTTATCCGAAAGAATTCTAGAAAATAAATTTGTTTTCTCAAGTTCGAACCACTTAAGACATACAGGTACAAAGGTTAATAACGATATCGAAACTGAAGTAAGTGTACGATAGTAACTTAGTGGTTAAAGCACTAGACTTGCAATTTGTGAGAGTTATAGGTTTGATTGGACCCTGATACACGTATACGTAAGTTTAAAAAGCATAGTGGTGTCGTTAGCCCTAACACAGCGTTCAGCACAGAGCCAACAACATAAATCCCTATTGGATAAGTGAGTTACATTACTAGAGAGAATAAGAAGTAAAACGAACAGATAATTTTGAGATCAATTACCCACAGTGATTTGTAGTCAAATTACAATGATTAATTATGAAATATTGAATTGGAAATTAATCAAACAGACTTTACTTTTCAGATAACGATACATTCGATTAACGTGAAAAGTGGGTAAAATATGTACCGGTTCAAGTTACTGTACTCCATATAAACAAGCAAAAAAGGAATTTATATAAATGACTGCAAAAACATAAAAATGGTCAATAAAATGAGACAGAGAATAGATGTGTCTGTATACAGGTATGATCGACTTTAATCTACATAATGAAATTAGATCATGAGCTATCGGTTGTTCTCTTGGAATAAAATATGAACAATTTTTTGACACGACTGAGACTGATAAATTCATCGATTATTTCTAGTCCTCAATCAGGCCATCCTTAATATCCTTCCAACTTCTAGGTAGTATAGCATATTGATCTTAGTAGTTTCTCAACACAAACTAAATAATTTATCGTTTAACTTGTGTGAATCTACATATTATTTACTCAGTTATCCTATTTAGAGTAAAGGCTATCTAGGACGAAGCGGTTGGGATAATCATGTCCTTTTAGGTAAAAGGTTGTCAGGGTGTGATGTGTAAACGATTTAATTCTAGAATAATAAGTCAAAAAGTTAAAAAAAAAACAGAAAAAAATAAAACAAAATAAATAATAACCTTTTGTTGATTAGCTTTGCATCGATCGACTTCGTTCTTAAAGTTCAACACTTCTCGATGAAATTGTTCATGACGCCTAGTAGCTTCTTCTACGGCTGAAAAAAGGAGTACAGTAATATTAATAAGAAGTGAGACTTATTAACCAGATGCAGGTTGTTTTTACTTGATTTTAATGCACATATTTATACGTGGGGGCATACGAAACTACTAGCCGGATGCTTGAACCGAAGTAGGAGTTCGAACCCGTAGCATCGGGGATTAATGTTTATGTGGTTAAATCGTTAACTATTGTCCCAAAAAGACATGGCATTAATATCAATAAGATTGATGATAACAGTGGTTTAAAGTGTGATAAATAATTACATACGACTTACTTTGCACGAGTAATGAAACTAATTGTGTTTAATGCCATTCTCTAATTCATTAAAATAATTTCATTTGTATATGTTGGTGTATTATTACAGAAACAAGTGTTAAGGCTCTAGCGTTCCTTGTAAATGTGACAGAGATATCGACACAGCGAGGCATAGTTATTATCAACCAATGATAATACACTCAAGTCGCGTGACTCACTACTACGTCTTCTATTTGTACAAACATAATAATGACCAAGCTACAAACACATAAATATACATTCAAACCCTTGTATATTTTCTTTGGCACATTTAATACATATTGATTTAAGGGGTTTAATCTGAAATGTTAACGTCCTTATTGAAACCAGCTAGTATCACACGTCACTAAATAGCTTTAGATATAATCTGATAAACAGATAACGATAGAAATTATAAATTAATACAGTCAGATAGCATTTAAACTCATGTGCAGAAGGAAAGTTTTTAGGCTACTACACAGAAGAAAATTAGATGGTATAAAATTGAACTGAAGATTGATGACAGCCATCAGGAAGATAGTGTTAAGCACCCAAACTTATCAGTTCTCAGAGGGTTAAGCTAACAAATCCACATAAACTTGTATCTCGCATAAATTATTTCTCCACAATTAGTTGTGTTGACCAGTTTACATATGCGTATGAGTAAATATGAATGCATTGGAAGGAGTAAACAAGCTGTGCAGTTGAGGTTGCTGAGACACATAGCAAAAACGCCTGAAACAGTTAGGGTCCTAAGGTAGAAAATCATGTTCCCTTAATATCCGAACGTACAACGGAAACGGGTAACCGTATAGACTTAGCTTGAGATTTATCAGTAATGTACATCAACGACGCTGCAAAGAATCGGATCCTGGTAACGCGTTGCGCAAGATACTATGGAATAACAGTATAGGTGGATTGTGGGACTGTGTAAGGAATTTAATATAGTGCGATATATGTTGCACGCCGGGAAATGGAGATAGACATGAGAAAAATGAACAAGAAAAGAAGGTCCAGGACAGAGTGGGTTGGAGAATGCTGGTCGGCGGCCTATGCTCCATTAGAAGTAACAGGCGAAAGTAAGTAAGTAAGTAAGTAAGATATATGTTGCACAGTCTAACCCATCAGACAAGATAAGCTAAACTCAGATAACGAACACACTATGTCTAGATAGTGAATTAACACAATGAGGACGTATAGATGTATAAAAACTAGCAAGTTCTAGTATCGTTATTTAGTTTTCTATCTTACAACTATTGATAGAATAAATCAATAACAGTAAATTGAATCACAATACAGACTATATCACAAATATTCCTAGATAATTTTGATATTATGCAATAGTGAAAAAATGCTGTTCAAGCCCTAATCATATGTAAAACTATAAATTCTAATTGTTTCTAATCATCAACACAACAGAGAAGTGGCGTGAAAAAAAATCTTACATTTTCGATTTGCTCCATAGGATGCAGTTTGTACAGTGTGAGAATGTTCCATAATCCATTGTAAGCATTGTTCGATTGGACTAATTAATTTACCTTGAATAAGGTGAGTGTTTCCCAAAATGGTACCATTTTTAAGAGATGTGAATGTAGAGTGACTCGACATGGTCATAGATGTTGAACAAACAGAACTAGAGACGACACTGGGTGGTGATAATACCGTTGAAGATGTAAATTCTCGATATAAACGTTGAAGATCTAAGAATTTCTGGTGTAATGTACAAACACTGGAAAAGAATAAGAAATTTCAAAATAGTTGTGAAATTCAAGAAAGTTAATCGGAAGAATAAGAAATCATGTAATGGAAAGCTAAAATGATTAAAGATTACTTTGAATGAGGAACCCCAAATACAAGCGTGTCAATTTGATTTTAGTCTGGACTATTCCATCAAAGCGTAGTGCAACTACCCACCGATGACAGTAGGATAGGTGATATCATTTGAATCATATAGAAAATATAACAGAATCATCCTTTTGACAATTTGTAACTGACATCAAACTATGGTATAGATTAATTTCCAAATTGAACAAAAACTTCAAAAGAACTTATTTATAACTAAAAGTAATTTTGAAAGGTTACATTTACAAAAATTCCAAATGAATTGAAGAATCAACGATCAATCAACAGATTATTGGATGTCTATTCAATTTCATTTAGAGAATTTGAAACACCATTTTCTTTTTTATTTAGAGTTTTCAAATATTATATCACTGTAATGTTGTAAACTTAGACTTTATTTAATAAAGCAAATAATTTTTTTACGAGAAATTAACAAATATTTTTGTTTTAATCAGGATCTTCGTATCAATAAGATTTATACAGCTCCAGATAGTAGTGAAATTAGGCTAAATCAGGTCTCATGACATGAGCATTATACCATTCAGTTATCAAGTCAGTGTGTACATTTTTAACTTAGTCTATTTATGATTTCTTTTTCTAAAAAACATTTTATTCATTAGTTACCGAATAAATTGATTGTGTTGATTACAGTTTCCTACTAAAAATTTGTTTACCGAAATTAATCAGTGATAAATTTCTTTGTTTCTATAGTAAATTTATTGACATTTTTAAATTTTCATAGTTTAAGTTATTCATTTCTCTTAATTAAATATCTATTTAAAACTAAGAAGCACTGGACAGCTGTTTCATCTTGATATGAGACTCTTCCGCGATGAACTTCCCTAGAACCTAGAACTATCAGTCTCGCACGAGAGTTCTAAACCTTTAGGCCACTGAGCCAGCATCCAGTGATGCAAATGTCTAACGTCAATCAATTTGCGACATTGCGTGACCATTTTCCATCCAATGTGGTGGATAAATGTCTCACGTAGTGGTCTAAAGTTTAGGCGCTCGCGCGCTAGACTAATGGTTCTAGGTTCGATCCAGTATGGGGCGCTCGTTGCTGGAGAGTTCCATAATAGGAATAAACAGCTGCCCAATGCTTCCTGGTTTCCAATGATTGTCTAACTGAAAGGAATGAATGATTTAATTATTTATTTCAAGACGATAGATGAGGATATTCTTTCATATCAGAGACCAAAACACCTTCAACATGTATTTATTTATTTCTATACTTCTATGCAATTATGAAATATAGTATTGGAGTTATTATCAACAACAATATAATGAGTGAAAAAGAATAAATTTAATAATCTTTACTGTTTCCATTTAAAATTATTCATTCTAAATTATGTATATTATGCATAGGTGTATGAACATAAGATTATGGTAAGGATAGTGTATAGATAGGCAAACTTAAAACGTATGTATGTAATAGAGTATATACTAATTTACTGGTAATATCATGTGACGATGATACTGGTAAGCAGTGGTAACAAACACAGTATGATCAGCCATATATATATATATATATATATATATATATATATATATATATATATGATATGTTAGGTAACAGGCATGCATATTTGACAATTTAACATTATATGAAATAGACTATAAAAGAAAGGAATGGGAGATATGAACGTAAGACATAATATAAACCATTAATACATCGGGCAAATCTCAATCGATTTGTTATAATACAGTAGGAAATCAATGGTGGATAAATGAGTTTAAATTACTGGGTTCATAAAAAGACTCGAACATTATTATTAATTGGTGTATTGAGTGAGTGAACATATTGTTCGGTTTGGGCATTAAACAAGCCACCTTCACGTTAACCTGTACAAAACTGTTATTTCATCAATTGGGAAGTATCGAGAAAATATTGTTAAACCTAAAAGTAAGTTTAGGCACAAAAATTAGAGATGGTTTATATGGTTGCGAGAACCCTTGGAATTCTGGAAAATATGCTGATAATAATAGCGATTTTTGTTGGATATTTCAGTTCATGAAAAATTTTATAGGTCACTGGTTTGTCAAGAGTTGTTCGAATGTTTTCTAGCTTCTTTGACTGTGACTTGGATAATTATTAACATCTAATAAAATCTACAAGATATGAAATAGTAATAATGTACTACTGGAGTCTTCAGTATCAACTAAAATTTTCCAGTTGGATAAGAACATTACGGGTAAATTAATATCTCTATCCTTTTGTTTAATTTGATAGACTGAAATTAATCGGTAAAAAGTCCTAAATCTTCAGAATTCATCAGCAAGGTATGTATAGAACTATAATCGAAACGTACTATTGTATGACATTCCGCTTTCACGTATCATATTTACTAATAATCTATCATAAATCAATATACACAAGTGGTTAATGATACACTTGTCTAAATGCTACAATGAACAAGGTAGTTTGACGCATTACGGACGAAGTTTTCTAAGCTGTTTATATCTAAAATCGAACAAACACCCAATGAAAGTCTAATGTAATATACATTGAAAGTAAAATTTTACATAATCACCATATACGAGTCATACTTTTATGTGAAAGCTACCAGTATTACTCATTAGCTGTTCATATGCTATGTTTGAAGAGATTACTCGTTCACCTAATCTGCGAACGGAACGAAGACTCAGTGATACAATGACCGGATAAGCTAATTATTGCGAGGCGTATCAACCCTGCTGACTAGAGAGAGAAGTCCGAGTTCAGAACAGGGAAATATATTCCACAAGTAGTCAGAAGCACGAACAACAACCACAATGTCCTTGGAAAACGTTAAAAAACAGCATATTAAAAGACAACGAGCCAATAGCATTTAAGGTACTCCCAAGTGAGAAATACGATATAGTGAAAATGGGTGCTTGTGGAGCGAAAACAAAAGATTTAAATTTTAAGATAGGATTACAAAAATAAGGCATTTACCAAGCGAGTTCTGGGGATCTAACATTACCACCATCATACGTAGAAATAAGTGGATCAAGGTTCGAAGTAGCAACTCACTAGCTGAAATTCAGGTAATTTAACTATTAAACTACTGTAATTAAAAGATTGAGATAAAAAAATATTAGATATTTTAAAATCCGGTGTTCGTACGGGTTCGGTGTGTAGAGTTGATATTTTGACATAATTTATGACCAATATACGACGTAAAACGATAACATGGCAATCAACAATCCATCTATTTAATGTCATAATTGAGTTACATAAACAAAAATCTATACCCTTTACTGAATTACCAATTAATCATTAGCCAATACTAGTTAGAATAGTACAAATAATTTTGAACACTAAACTCAACTAATTATGATAACTTACTTTCTATAAATTTGTTCTGTTTGCATATATCGTCCAGTGCGTAAATGTTGTACTTGATTGAATAATCCATTGATTTTAGCTTCAATTTGAGTTAGTTGATCACACCAACGTCTTATTTCATTATTAGTATCGAATATATGCTGACCAGGTAGTTCAGATTTCAACTAATTTCAACATATAGATGAAATCGACAAATTAAATAGTAAATGAAACTTTGTTTATTGTTTATATATAAAACACACTAGGTTTTCTCATAAAAAAAAGACTCGATTAGAGAAATAAATGAAGTGCCAAGTGTTACAGTGTTGATATTTTTTTGAACTTCATATTGGTGCTTGATTAATTCACTCGTTAACTGATAAGTAATCCATTGTAGTAGTATTTTGATAAAATAAATTGTATAAAAATAATACCATTTTATTCAGCTATATATATACAATGTCAGTTAACCAGTATTTCTGTAATTTAAAAATCTATTTGGTTAAAAGTCTAGAGATAAGTCTCGTGAGTGAAATTATAACTCCATTTGATTAACAGCTAAGGATATAACAGTGTTAACGATTCACTTTAAAATATACGATTCAAACTCTACAATATTATATTGAAACTCAAGATAGAAGCATAAATACTAGGGACTGTTGATTGCCTGTTTAAATTAATTTCAGATTGCAATGAGAAAACACTAGTTCGTACTTAGTGAATTATAGTGGTGAAACAGTAACTTAGTAGTTATATAATTCGGTTTTCAAGAAAACAGGTTCCATCTGCACTCCACCTGTTTGCATTTGCGAAGCCAGATAGTATGACCAGCCATCAAACCAATAGTCTGCATCAATACCAAGTATATAAATCACTACCTGATAAATGAGTAGTGTTCTAGTATACATCATCGATTAGATAATGTAATTGAAAAAAAACGACTATAATAATGAATTATATCAAAATCGAAATGAAATTGTCACTAACATTATAGTAGTTTATAATATTTGATAATTATAAAGTAAAAAATCGTTGTCCATAACTGTTTTTACATGAAGTTAAAATGAGTCAACTTTTAGTGAACAATGATAATTTTGTATAATAAAATAAAGAGAATTTGGATCTGATTTAATTACGATAATTTTATGCATCTATGATTATAGTATACTGTAAATTTTTGGATGTGTACAAAGGGATGGATGAGTGGGATAGATAAATAGGCAGATAGGTTAAGTGGAGAGATGGAAATAATAACTTTTCGCTATTTCCTTGTGTTTAGCAACTGTTCACTTTAGTTCAAAAAGGTACAAAACAATTTGATTTCAGTATGGAACAAAATTGATAATTTGATCTACTGTAAATTTGCACTTATTTATTTATAGTACACGGGATCGATAGACGAAATGTGTCGGTATGAAAAATAATATGAACAATGTGAATAATAATGACGATAAAAACGAATGGAATGACCCTTAAAAAACGTTTTTAACACAATATACTCCTGATAATAAACTGGGTGAGTTAGCAAGTTATTTATAACTGGCGAATACTATGCATACAATATATATCATATACAGAGAGATAGAGAGAGGGCATATCTGACCTCAAAATACTGTACCAGAAAGCCCAATCGCATATATTTATGCGTACCTCATAAGTACTAACATTCCCAAATAAAAGGAATTTTTTTAAAGCCATAGTGAAATTGAACTTATATAAAAAGAGGACAGTATTAAGGGGATATATATATATATATATATATATATATATATATATATATATATATATATATATATATATATATATTACAAACCTCAACAACTCGCCGTTCTAAGGCAGTCAACTGTGCTTGGACTTGAATGCAATCACGTAGAGCTCGATTACCAGCCCATTGTAAACGATCTAAACGATGAGTTTCATTTCTTGCAGCCAATTCACGTTCTTGTAAAGCAATATCATATTCATCCCATAATCGGTGAATTTGTTCAATTCGAAGGAATAAATCAATTGGTAGTAAACCACGTTCAAAAGATGGCTTTTTGAAATGTAAAAAACAAAAAGCGATTAAATTAATTATAGACAAGTTAATCATGATGAATAGAATGAATTCTTAAAAGACGTTCTAACATAGAAAAATGAATTTAGTGCCATGAGCAGCTAACATATTTATTTATTAAAGTGAAATATACATTCGTAGTTCAATTCAGAGATTTCTCTAAATGCCCCGGTACGAACAAGATTGAGGAAAGTTTACTTTTCCTTTCGAAATGCTCTCATACGGCTATACAGTTATAATCTCTGTAAGGAAATTTTTACTCAGTGGATTCACATGAGAGTTGGGATTAGGCGAGAATGAAAAGTGAACGTTCGGTGCCTAAACTGGATTGGTCAACACGGAAGGTTGTTCACCGAGGGGTTAGAAAACTCTGGTTTCAAACCAGTGGTTTACATAAGTTCCAGGATTCTAACAGAAAAAGTCATGCATGAACTCGTTTTTGGTCATTGAAAACCGTGAGGTAGAAGCTCTTGATGTTACTCTACTACTTTGTGAATTAGAATTTGAGGTTAAAGGTTTAGAAAATGGTACTCTAAGAAGAATAATTTTCTCGGTTTACCTGCCTGAGCAGTATCTCACCCCACACAATTAATTAATTACTATATCAGAGTACATAAAATACGTTTGAAGAATTTTGTACTCATTAAGTACTGCGTTATTACTTGTAAGCAGGTAACTATGAAACAAAATTCATTCATCTAGAACACTGAATCTAAAAAACATACTACTACTACTACTGTGGTGTATGTTACTTATGTTGACAGATATAAGTAGTATGTAACACAATCAGAAGTGGGATGTCTGGCAGGAGAAGATTGAATTGAAGAGAACAGGAATGTAAACAGAGGAGAACCTTAATAACAACAGCATTGAAGGAATCATGAAACATGTAAAGGATAGCTGAAGGAAGATGTGCAAATAAAGTATTTAATGTGTGGTTTTCATATTTTACGAAGGCACTCTGTAAGCTTGCATCAAATAATAAAGCGTTCTTCCTTCCCTGAGTTCGTCGTTCACTAAACTATTAATATCATTACTACTACTACCAATAATAATAATACTTATAACAATAATTATTACTGTCACCATTATCATGATTAGTACTATTATTATGATAATTGCAAAGCACATCAAATTGAACTGGGTTAGTTCTGTTTAAGGTTATAAAATGTATTGAAACACTAGTTTGTTGATACATTAAGTAAACAAATTTTTGAAACTGTAAATATTTAGGATATATATATCTATATATGATTTCATATGTCATTAGAATAAACGATAAGATTGTCATAATAATTATAAGTATACATATAATATATGATAATGATAACAATAATAATATATAATATTATATGTAATATAAGTAGATTATGCGACTTGTCGAGTAATAATAATAAACATTATCATAACTTGACAAATTAATCCACATAAATTTCGTTTTATAAAACAAATTGACAAGTATAGTTCAATATAAAGAAGTTAAAAAAAAAATTAAATTTAGAAAAGTGAATACACAGGAAATAAAACCATACAAAAGTATTGGACAAACGGATGGATTATGGTTGCACAAAGTAAATATCAAATTACTAATACTGACATTTTAAAGATGTAAGCAACATGTTTAATGTTCACAATTAAATGAAGTCAAAATTCAATATATAGTTTGTAGAATATATATCAAAATTATACAGTACTCTATAATGATTTTCAAATCGTTTTAAACTGTTTCCCCAACGTCAATCTGTCCTTACATTGTGATTTTATACACATTGTTTCCTTGATTATTTTGGGGAGAGCAAGAAGTGTGGCTTAAGCGCAATAACAAGGATTGATTTTATTTCGTTTGATTCACATCAGTTGCTTACAATCCGTAATAGTTAGAAATTATAATTACAAAATGAGCTCAAATTACTTACATAATAGAGGTACAAAAGAGTGGTTGCACAATGAAAAACGCTAAGAATAAGTAAGAAAAAATGAGTAAAGGTCATTAAGACAAAATAAGATATTTGATCTAGAAGACAGTCAAAATAGAAAACGTAGTGATGTCATCAACTGAAACAAGCAGTTGAACAGGATTTTATGGTGTAATGAAGAAAGGTTCGTGTTGCCAAGGCAGAAAAAGACGGATAATCGATTCCTTTAGGATATATGAATCATGTTTTTGACGCCTGACAGCAAAATCTTCAGCAAATTTTGGAAGACTTGAACTTGGATGTTTATTGATCATCTTGAAAGATTTCAATGTATAAACCTGATGTCCTATGTCCAAGAGATATCGAGTGATTATGCTATTTAAAGTTTCTTCCCCTCGTTTAAAAGCTTAGGAAACATATTAGCTACTTTAACAGGTAAATTTGAATTCATAGACCCAGTTATTGGTAACATGAAAGATATACTTGTTGATTATTGATTGGATTATTGGACATGTTGTTTTATACAGGATTAATAGTTTGATTGCAAGATAAATTCTGGCTAATGCAGTGTTAAGCCTCCTGATGATTATGCTTGCAACGTATCATCTTTAAAGTTGAGATGGATAAATGTTGGCGTTTTATTGACTTTGGCAACATCCGCCTTAATGTCTTAGATTTTTTACACTTATCAATGAATTTCGGTGGGTAGCAGTTATCCCTGAAGTATTTTTAAACAATTATCCATTTTTCCAGTTTGTGAGTGTTAAATGGTGAGTTTAGTTTCTACTATATACAATAGTATTTTAACCAGTGTTTTCTTGTAACTATAGTAGGATATTCAGGAAAATATCCCAAAAATTATTCTGTTAAGTTTAACGCTATCCTTGGGCATGAAATGGTATTACTTTCTTATTGGTCAATATTTATTTCACGTGTCGTTTTCCTACTGGTCAATATTGTACAATGTTATTTTCTATTTTATGGTACGATGTGGTCTGCTTGATTGGTATATAAACAGAGTATGCTTGAAATATAATGATTTATATCTCAGAGGCTGAGACTTGCGTTCTGGACTCAACTGGCTAGGCTAGACAGGGAAGCAAGGCCAATCAGGACTGTAGGTCGTTCTTACATGTTTTACGCGTCTTTGGTCCGATCAATAATTCGCTGCGCTCCAATCAGCAGCATTTCGCGTTACAACAAACTAATTGGATAAAAACTACTGAAATTGAGGTATGGACCATTCTAATTGCTGTTTTGCTAAACCGAACGTTGAAAAGTTCCATTTGCACTCCGTCGTATAGCAATTTTTAGAAAGTTGAATATGTTGTTCTTTTCGTGTCCGATAGTTAAATTCCTTCTTGAAGAGTTATCCCAAATGAATTCCATTCCGTTTGCTGTTACGAATAATTGACGTATCATAAACATACTTATAGTATTTTGTCATTTCGTTAATCGCATATTTAAACTTTGTTTTTTTTAAAATAACACAAAAACATTGGGATAATTGGAGAAAATGTACTTCCCATTGCTACACCGTCAATTTGACGGTATGTGTTGTTTAACTCAAATTGAACGTCTTTTGTGCACATACATAGCATGTAAAATGAATATTTGGTTGAATATATATTTAGTTTTTTTTTAAAGTCGAAACATAAGAGTATACAAAAAAGAACAGAACAACAATGTTGATGAATCCAGACAAAACAACAAGTTGAGGTATTATTATTTAATAAAACGTTTTGGGATAAACTATGATAATAGTGTTTGTATAATATATAAATAAACATCGAGGCTGGTTAATGACCACTAATGTACTTTGGAGTATTGTGATGAGAATATATGTAAAAAAAGTGACTATATTTCTTTAAAATTACCAGATATTGATAGTGAAGTATAGCAAACTGATTGAAGTTAGACAGCTGGATCTCAACTAATCAGTTGGAAAGTACTGAGCGTTTCACTATGACATCTGAAGTTCCTGATTTTAATATCTAGTATCTTCGTAGACAAGAAGTTTAAAAATGTTGAGAAACCTCTGTCCAATGGTTTAGAATTCTGAATTCAATTAACTCGCGACATTCTCACTGTATGCCGATTTAGTGGTGCTCACATTGAGACCTGAAGTCCGTGCGCTTGATTCTTGATGAGGTCGTGAATGTGTGCTGTTGAGAAGATACATGTTGGGACAGAAACAACTTTCCAGTACTTTCTGGTCCTTAATGGTTATCTAATATAGAGTAATTCATGAAGTAAATCATAAAAAATGAAGTCATTATTGGTAAAAAAAAGTCCTTAAAATAAAAAGAAAGAACTGTGATGAACTATTTTAATACACATGAAGAATAACGTTTCCTTTTTACCTTTAATTCTTCATACATACGAACTAATTGTTGACGTTCTCTTTCTCTTCTTGGTCGTTCATCACGTCTATGTCGTCGTATTTCATCCATAACACGTTCTTGCATTGATTTTAAATCTGATGGAAAATGACGATTAGCCATACGATCAGTAGTTGATCGTAACCATTGTATTAGATCACTACCTAAAATACGATAATCTGACCAAAGTGATTTTAATTCATCTGAAAGTTGATTAGAAGCACTAAGAAGTTGAAAAGTTGAATCAATTGGTCTACTAGTAGAATTTTGATCATGATATAAAGAAGGCATAGGTGGTACAATTGGTACTGGATATAATGAATGTTTTGATGAATTACATACTAGTTTATCATAAATTGAGGCTACATAAGTTATAATCGATCGTTCATCAGTTGTTTTTGCAATATCTAAAACAAAAGCAAAAGCAAGAACAAGTTTGTAAAGGTTAGATAATATTCACGTAGCTTTAATAGTTAGTGGAAATTCATCAATTTGTTGATTGGATACATAATCAATCAGTATGAAGTCTTATAAATATTCTGAAAACCAAAAGAAAACATTTAAATTTATATTGAAAAAGAAACTCAATAGGACTGGACGGCATGTATCGTTTATTTTTAAGAAAAAAAGTCATAACTCTTAACAATACTTTGAAGTGTAACAAATGGATCTTGAAGTAGACTAATTCTATTGATTTGTTTAACAATTTACAGCAATGAAATACACACTGAAACATTATGAATTTGTTTAGGAAACTATCTACCTTTTAATTGTTTTAAGAAAAAAAAACGATATAGTCTGCATCTTTCTAATACATTATCAGATCATTGGTCAAAATGTCTCAGAGCCAAAACTAAATACTTATGGTTGTTATACAGTCATTTTAGTAACATACATCATTTATTTATTTTTAATAATCTATTCATATGTGAGATTGATATTGATTAGTAAAAGTATAAAAAATCCTTTAAGATAATGAAATTAAAACTCCTACCATCTGAATCAAATAAACGAGTAACTTCAAGTTCACGTTCAGCTAAGTCAAATGTTAAATCAAGATTTTCACGGGCAGATTGACGATCAACTTGACGAAAATCAATTAAATCCGGTCTAAATTAAAACAAACAGAAAGATATTAAATTATAACAATCATAGAAAACGCCATCCAGATAAATTATAGATTCAAATAAAGTGAAAACAAGAATAATAACCAGGCAAAAATGTATACTTCCAAATAATATTATAGGCAGAAGAAAATTAAATTGATCAAGAATATTGATTAATAAACAGATCATAAGTGTTAGAATAAAAAAACAAACACTTGAGTCTTGAATAGAATTACAGTTGATATGAGATAAATATAAAACTTTCCAATAAGTCAATAAAATTCTATAAAATCGAAAAGATTGTTTTTTTTTTTGTTGTAATAATGAGATAATTTTACAAAAAATGAAAGCCTACATAAGTAATAAAAGTCAACCTATGATTTGGACTACCTACTGGGTTTTGTATTCCGATATTATCTGTTTCAAATTGCACTTTCTTTATCATACACCTTAAATATATATTCTATGTAACACATTAGTATATGCTCATTATGATGCGGTTCTCACCCTCCGAATGTAAAATCTTACTTCAGGATTGGTTTGCGTCATTGCCTGAATTAGTGATAAAGAATGAAGTAAATGAGTGTGTCGACCGCATCACTTGTCTTGAGAGTCTCATCAGTACTGATGGTCTGGTATCTAACGAAATCTGGGCACAGATTCAGAAAACTTGCAAACTTGCGTCACTTGAACCGTGGCCGAGATAACCGTCTTTCAACTAAAGAACGAGTTTATTGAGCAACGGTTCGCTCCACTCTACATTACTAAAGGATGAAACCAGTCCGCGAAGTTATTGACAACTGAATTGAGCCATTTTAATATTTGTAGACAATATGTTTAGGGTTTGCGCGCTTATCCTAGCCAATAATAAGCGGCTTATAATGAGATGGCTCGAAATCGTTTGTAACAGCGCAGACGAATCCACTCTTTGTCTCCCCCCAAATCCTGAGGTTCTAAGTTCCTCGTAACTTGTTTTGTTTGTTTTTTCGCTAATCTATATTCGTTTCGAGTCGTATCGTCGATTCTTAATCTTTCATCTTATCATTAACACTGTTACTACCCCTACTATTCTGGGATTTGGTCTGACAAATTCATCTCTGTGTTGATGGTTTATGATAAGTTGAACCGATGCACATATGTACAGGTTCTACGTTATGAGTGACTGACGCGCATTTTGTTACGGTGTTGTGACGGATGACGCGATAGTTCGATTATAAGTGACCATAGAAAGATCTTCTCTGTCTATATACGTAATAGTTTTCATGAACAATACGATAAGTTGTCGTCACAAATTATTACTAATACTATGATTATCAGTTACTAAGTAACCATTTAGTGGTATTTTTCAGTTAGTCAATCAAGAAGTAACATAGAACTTTGCACAACAGAGCATCGATTAACGTTTATACATAATATTAACAAAATGTGAATAACATCAAAGTAGTAGAAGTATCAAAGATATTAAAATGAGTAGGTATAGACGATATGATTCTAAAACGAATGACTTCTTGGAATAAAAAACGTTTAATGTACTTTTGAAACTAGAAATATAGGGGAAGACAAAGAGTGGATACAATTGTGTCATTGGGACTGATTCTGAGCCATGTTATCTAACGTCCCCAACTATTGGTCATGATAATAGTGAAGACTCCAATCAGACAGTCTGCATCTACGAACATGACTCAGACCAACACTCAACGACTTTATAGACTTATCCTACGTTTTTGATTAGTCACCACCAGCTTTCTTCCGACTTATTATTAAGCTAGTCAACATCTTTGATCAAGGTAGGACGGTTGAGATTACTCAAAAACTTCAGGTGATGAAGACTTACAATCTGACCAACCATTGGTGTATTATTTGGTCATTAATTTGCACAGTCCCTTATTCGTTAAAATTGGAATTCATTTACTAAGTTCAGTCACAAAAGATCTATTGTACTTAATACGGAACTAAGGAGTTATGGTAGCCAGCATTCATGGTCAAGATGTGTAAGTGATCTTGCAGAGAGAAAAAAGTCTAGTCCATATTATTAAGAATAAAAAATTATAGGAATTAAAGTGAGCTAATGGAGACGTGGTTAATTATCTGTAGGACATAATGCAGAGCGACATTATACTGAGTGACTAGCATCGAGTAGACTCACAGTAAATGTATAAAGTAAATTGTTAGTAAACAATTTTGAAGAATAACGCAGTTAGAAACAAAAATTGATTAAGATTATTATATCAAGAAAAATGTGTATTCGTAATACAGCTTAAAAGTGATTAGAACGAACGAGGTCGCTAAATCTATCTAGCATCAGAAATAAACCTTAAAGAAGGTTAAATACTAATTAAAGAGTGGTCAGAAAGATTAAAAAACATAGACATGTTTCATAACACTTACATTGCGATTAAAAAAAACCCAACATAATTGACTTCAGAATCTCTTTTAAAAATAGTACAGGGATCTATCTAAGATTTATTTACTAACACAATATTTTAAAATGCTAACCAGTAGAAGGAAGTTTAAAAAAGCCAATTGTAAGTTATTGAAGTGACTGATAATTTCCGACATACTTTTCCCAAAAATGGGATATTTATAGCCTTGAAATAAACACAAATTATGAGGAACATAAAAGTTTTAAACAAGAAATTCTATAGCAAAAAATATCACTAGTTATTTTCGTGTTTTGATAGTGTAGGATACCTTTTAGAAAATAGAGCGTCCTAATTTAGTTACATGTTTACAATGATCGATCTGAAAACCATTGAATCCTTCAAGTGTTTTGTTGATCAAAAGATAAAATATACTAAATTGGATGTAAGAGTATAGAAACTTATAATTCTAGGCAAATACACTTACCTATAACGATGAATCAAGGCAAGGAATGCGCGACCATCTTTCCACGATTCAGTAAAATCTTTTATATATACACCTGGATAATTTGCTGTGACTGCTCGACACCAACTAAGTAATGTTTGTTTAGCCGCATTATCCATGGATAAATTAACACGAAGATCCGATTGTAATTTTGTCTGATTTTCAATCAATTCTGCCAACTAAATGTATATTTTAGTGGATGGCAAAAAGGAACAAATGGAACAAGATAAAAATAAAGGTCAAAGTGATATGAAGAAAAATGTACGCAATAAATGTTATGATGAAACAAATAGAAGGGTTGCGCAAGATTACAGATCGATTGAAGTTAGGCATTAACACCGTTACATGCCGGGTAGGTGGTCTAGAGGTTAAGGGTCCGCGCGTGAGACCGAAGTTCCTTAGTTCGAGTCCTACGTGTGAGATCGTGCACCTGCACTGCTGACGAATCCCATGCTGGAACGAAATAGCCGTCTAGTGCTTCGAGGTTTCCGATGGTGGTCTGACTCTGAGCGACTCGTGAATTCAACTGTTAGAAATACTACAATCTCCACAAATTCCCTTACTGAAAATAGATATAAGTAGGATATTAAATGGTTGTAATTTCCTTGTATTCAAGTGAAGAGTTTGCAGTACGGTTACGTACATTTTCGGTACGCCTTTCGAAGACAAACACTGCCATAAGACATGCAGATTGACAGAATTTAGTGAAACCTTTAGCTCTAAAATTACGGTGTCAGTAAATATCCCTAATTCAAAAACTAGTAAAAACCTTAGATTTGAAACCAATCTACTTTCATGTTGCCAGGTCCTAACATTGAAGTTAAGATCTTGGAAACAGTCAGTCAGCTACAACGTAGGACCAGGCACATATGTGCATCGGTCCAAGTTGCCATACCTCATTAGCACAACAAGATGAACACCGGATTCATAGAAGCAGTTAATTTAGTGGTGGTAATATATAAAAAAATGATTGCATACAGGAAAAATGAATTAGTTGGTAGAAAGAAAGATATAAAGCAATTTCGATCTTATAGTTTCAGAGAAGGCAGAAAGTGTATACACCTACGCCATTGTGATCGATTCTCAGCCATGTCACCCAGAGTCTCAAACTAAAAATATCTCTGTCGTTTCATAAAAAAAGAGGTGATGATATTGAAATTTCGGGATGCAAGATAAATTTCACTCAATCTAACAGATAATTCGTTATCACTGTTCAAAGAGAAATTTGAAGTTGAACAGTCTGAGATTAATGTCTTCCGTAGTTTCTAGTTAATTAAAAGTTAATAGTTGGAGGTCCACTGTTGATATCCGGTTCACGTTGTTGCCGAATAGTGAATAACAGCAATGTATCAGGATGCCAGTTGAACTATTCCTCAATGTTCTATCCATCGTTACAGTCACAGGTATGTATATGCATACAATTGCATATCTAATTCTGAGGATGAATCAACCACGTCCACTTAACAACAAGAACGATAAATATGTAAAGATTTTAATTTTTTAAAAAGGGAAGATCATCTAACTCTTTGAATATTTGAATTTCTCATTATCTTATTCTCTTATTTAAGAAGGGAATATAAATAGGAATTAAAAAAGAACAAACCAGTGAAAAAAAGTACACTATGGCTATAAGGTGATTGATTTTAAGTATACCCTCTACATTTTTATCTTTTTTTTGTAGAAGAAAAAATGCAATTATCTATATCGATTCCATCAATAAATCAACTAACAGAATACAGAGAGAAATGAGAGGGGAAGTTACAAAAAACCTACATCTTTTTAGTTAACATGAAAATCAATAAAATTAACTTTTTAGAGGAAAACTTTAGTCAATGCATTTGTTGGTTTTGTATGCTAATAATAATCAAGACAGTAGTAGAAGAAATAAATACATACAGAGATAATTGCTTAACAGTTTATAATGAAGTAATTAGTATTAGAACAAATAATATATTGATAGTTTCATCAGTATATACATAAGTTTAGGCATTCAAATGTTCATTTGAAGGCTTAAATCAACTACTGAGTCCAATTGGCTGCAAATGGAACAAGTAAGTAGTCCTTCTCTACTATTTCACAATGACTAGCTAAAACATTAGTATATATATATATATATATATATATATATATATATATATATATATATATATATATATATATATATATATATATATATATATATATATATATTCATTTGAACAAGATATACAACTCAAATGAATTGTTCACACCTAAACCGTTAGCTAGGATTCACTTAACATGTTATCTTTTCTTTTTTCATCAAGGTAAGCTCATGGATTAGTCAAAATAGCAATGGACTCAACTTCGAGTTCAGCAAGTCGCAGAAACATATAACAATAACTGAAGCGTAACATAACTAAATGACTTAAGTTATAGGAGTATTTTTCAAAAATTCAAGTAAATTCTTATGAAATTGCATGGCTTGGTATATTTTTTATTTATATATGAATGTCGAAAAACAATATTTACCACTCTTTATTTATTGCTGTATGGTAGAATGTCATTAGTTCTAAATTAACTAAAGTATATGACTAGCAATATGCAACTAACTAGAATATTTTACGCGTTTTTTATTTTGTGATTATTCTAGACTAATTAAAATGATAGTGCAACCGTCGTCTCTAATTGTACAAAGAGAGTGACTGATCAACTGTAATTCCAAAAGTACAAACAATATTGCGCAATGGTCAGTGAAATAATTTATTTACATAACAGTTTTAGTTATCAGTATGGAGAGTTGTAGAGAGTGTAATAGTACCAGTTATGTTGACTTTTCAAAAAAAGTTCAGAAACATAAAGAAAAACAACTCTGATACACGTATAACATAGACGTTTCAACATATAATGAATGATAAACAATTAGCACATATTTAAGAAAACACAAAAAAGCTAATGTAAATGTATTTACCAATTCAGAAGGTAAAAAAGCCGATAACAATAGGTAAATTAATCCTATCAAGTAAATCACCAACTGTTTTAACTCATGAAATCATAATCCAGAAAGAAACATGTAGAGAGAGTAATAAAACCGATATACATGAAATATATCCAAGATAATCCATATAAGACTAGAAAATAGTACACGTACTGGAATTACACTAACGTGCATACGCACATACATACACTAGCTACAAACGGACCATATGATATAGTTAACTTTTTGTGTGTACGTTTCTGTGAGGTGAAAGATTATTTCACCCTAACAACGAACATAATCGACATTTCCTCACAGATCATTTACAGCAGATCGTTCACGAAATTAAAAGTAGTGAATTACAATTATGATCATATTTATGCATATACACAGACATACATATAAAACACCAATAAGAATGGTAATTTTCAAATATTAAAACGATTATGAATATTGTCTACCATAATATGAATAATAATAACAATATCTTATACCATATTGTCTTTCCGTCGGTTTGATCGTCGCATCCATATGCATGCGTAGCTGACAGCTGAACTATGTTCCTTCCACCTCGACCACCCCCTCTCTTAATCCTAGTCAAATTGCCATAGGTTTAATATTCTGTCTTTATTAAAACATTAACCTATCTTCCTGCCATAAAATCATGATATACATAAAAAAAGCCAACGCCCATGCTTATACTTATTTAATAAGTAAAAACCATAAATAAATATTCAAGTTATATCGGCTTTTAGTAGGATTATAGTAGTTATATCCACAAAAAGAGGTTGTATTAAACTTCATCATCTTATTGACTATAACAAGATCAAGTTATTTCATAAGTTGTAATGTACTAATGAATAGAGTAATAACAATTTAAACACTAAAACAAATTTAGAAATGATGCAAATTATACTAAATCGATAAAAGATGCTCTTAGTTACCAGTGAACACTTAAAGATTGTTAAATTTCTAAGAATGTGTATGTGAGTAGATTGACCCAAACAACATTATAAGACTTTCAAAAATGTAATAATATATTATCAGAATAATGCATCACTAAGAATTATGAACAGCTCTACTTATTTGACTTTAATATGATCACGGTTCAGGCTACAAAATTTGAAACAACAACGCAATCGTTGATACAAAATATCTTACAACAGAATTTATGGTATATACACGAATGACCCTCTACCTAGGGCTCAACAATCGAGAAGATAACTAAAGTTTTATTGCCATTTCAACAAACGGTAATACACATGGGAAACTCATGGACATTTATAAAATTTTCATCATCATTTTCAAAATCAATCATTGAAGATGTAAGTCAATGGGTTCAGCCTCAAAACATAATAGTTTAGAAAACTAACATCAATCCAAGCTTCAGGGTATGTTGAACAAGTTGCATGAAGAAGTATGGAAGAAACATTATTCTTGCATGTATTCTATTATGAAGTTTTCCTACTATTATTAACAGTGAGTTGAAAACTGCGGTTACTTAATAAACTAACAATCGATAGCCTATGAAAAGTTACACTCATCTTCCGTCATTCACTAATCAGAACACCAAGTAGTAACTTGTATTATTCAGGTTTCAAAACTCACGTGTCTCTATTACATAGAATACCATCATTTAGAGATTTACTGTCGAGTCCTTTACTATTTCTATCTTAAAGCAAACTTATCAATTAAAGATGAGAAAATGACAAAACCTAGATTTTGGATTAACATCTCGGGAGCTAGATGTAAATTTATATTTTATGTTAAAGTTTTAGCTATAAGGGAATGAATGCAATTAGTCAAAATTTCAAATATTGAAAGGAGATTAAAAGGTCAGTTTTTTAAGTTTGAGTTTGCCAGCACCGGTTGAAAACGTTGAGACAGCTTAGTAGTAGAGAGGTATGTTACGAAGGGAGTGAAAAAGGAGTAAAATTAAGAATGAATTCAGAACAATCATCAATGAAACAAGCGAGATTAAGCAAGTCATTGGTTAATTTCTAAATGAACTAACAATGACTATAAATTATAAGGAAGAAAGTTAAAAGATACTTGTAATCACAATAAAATCTTACTCTTCGATCCTAAAGTACGCTGAATCTAAGTTATTTGTACTGGGAACCCTAAGAAATTACCGAGAGTATCCAGAAGTTAGGAAAAGACTGAAACCATGTCGTTTAACCAACATAGAACAGAAAAATTTAAGAAACTAAGGATAACGTATCGCAATTTAATCCAGAATAATAGCACTTTTATATACGACTCTAAAACTACAGCATTTTCAGTGGTATTTTTGCGAATGGTGTAGGAATCATAAGTGGCTCTGCTTCAAGAGTTATGTGCGTGACTAGCAACTCAATAAAATCTGCATCCTTCACACGCATGAAAATTAATAAGGCTATAAATACCCTTAAGCTTTCGAGAGGTCATGGAGTAGACAGGATTTCATCATTTCTCTACAAATATGGTGGTCCAGATATTGAACTTCTTCTTCTAAAGCTGTTTATTCTCTCCATGGAAACTGGTTCTTACCCTTACTGTTGGAAAACCGCGTACATCATACCACGTTACAAATCTGAAGATAAGACTGACATGAACAGTTATCGGCCGATAAATATTACTCCAGTTAGCTCTAGGATTATGGAAAAAATTGTAAGTGATGAACTTTCCAACTATTTACTCACTGGAAAATTTATCAATGATACTCAACATGGATTTCTTAAAAATCGATCTTGCATGACATGTCATTTTGACTTCTTTAATTTAGTCTTTTCTCTACGTAGCCAATAATATCTAGTTTTAGTGCTATATCTGGACATTTCTAAATCATTTGACATGGTTAGCCACCAACTTCTTGTAGGTAAACTCGCATCTTATGGGGTTCAAAATCCTTTGCTTGCTTGGTTTGATTCCTTTCTCAGCAATCGACATCAAATGGTTAAAATTAACTCCTCATTGTCTAACGCTGTCCCTGTTAGAAGTGGTGTAATACAAGGTAGTGTCTTAGGCCCTTTGCTCTTTTTATTGTCTATCAATGATATTTGTGAGTTTTTGTGTGGGTAAGCCCCTTCTATATGCAGATGATCTTAAAGTAGTAAATTCATTTTCTCCACATGAGCTGAAAAATATGCAAAATTTCACCATCATGGAGCTTAACAAGGTAGCACACTGGTGCTTAAAATGGCAACTGGAGCTTAATACGGCTAAATGTGGATGGATATGCTTCGGCGATTCATCACTCAACCTAGACCTTACCATAAATGGAAAAGTGTTATCTAGGTTACATACAGTGGTAGACTTAGGTCTTAGATACTCCCAAGACTTGTCGTTTACAGAACAGATATTGAAACAGACCCCTAAGTCTCAACGTCTGGTAGGTTACATAACTCGAAACCTTTACAACAATGAGTCACGTATTTTAATGTACAAAATTTGTGCTCCACCTCTTCTAGAATATTGCACGTTTATTCTTAGCAGTGAGCGCATAAAGGATAAATTAAGGCTGGAATCAGTACAGAGACGATTTACACTTCGTACTCTTGGAGCTGATTGTACCTTAACTTATAATTCTAGATGAAATAAACTTGGGCTAGATTCTTTATGGAAGAGGAGACTCAAATTGAATCATATCTTTTTCTTCAAACTTCTTAATAAATTATCCTTTACATCCAATCACGTGATTCAATATGCAGAAACTTCTCATTATGACATCCGTGATTCCTTGGCACCAGTGAAACAAACTTATTCTAAATCATCTCTTTATATGAATCACTTTACCTGTGAATTTTCTAGACTCTGGGATAACCTACCTCAGTCTATCCGTACGATAAAATCACTCCCATTATTTGTTCGCTGCATCGATGCATACTGCTCCTCTGATAATGCATTGAATGTTCTAGCACCTGTAAGTGTATCTCATTCCACAAGTGATATTATAGGGACTTTAAATGTTTAGCCATCTTTATTAGTGCATTCCCTAAGTAAAACCATCTACTTGCTGTCACTTTATGTTAACACCGTCCCTAGCAAGTTTAACTAATTTGAATAACATCAACAGTATATCACTGTGTCAAATAACACACGCGTTTAGGTAGACCTGATTGATATATTTTGGTAATTACTGATTTGTTGTTCCGTGCTCTCTGTTTTCGTTTTAATTTCTCTAGTTGTAGATAATTATCATTAATTCGATCTGCCACACGAAATGACCTTAATTACACCGTTCATAAATCAACAGGCTGTTCATTTAAGAAATATTAAAAGCTCCCGGCTGATGCATTGGATCGCTGTGATACATGTACTACCTAAACAATTACTGAACTAGTATACTTAAAACTTTCTTCTATCACATGTTTGTTCTGTACATCTAGTGTTACTATTTATATCAAATTGATCATGCCTGTAAACTAGCGTGAATTCTGTAATTATTTTCAGAAAGTAGAGGGAATGTGTAACAAGACTGATTTACAATGGGAAGTCAAAAATTAGAAAAAAATAGATATAGATACTGGCACAAGTATAAAAAGAACCCTAAACTCAATTGTAGATGATAGCTTATTACACAGGTCCGAAACAAGGAATTTACATTTAAATTTACATTAAAACTTACTAAAAAAGCAACAATAAAACTAAATTCTCGGACAGAAAGTTAGTCGATTGAATAAGAAAACGATTTCTCCAAATCAAAAAAACTACTATCAAGTAGTTTAACTCTATATGGAAGAAACACTATACGCACCTGTCTACATATGTCTGATAAAAAACACTGTTTATGTCTAATTAATTTAAAACAGAAAATACTAAACAACTCATTTAGTTTAAGTAGACTTTTCTCTTTAAAGTTGCCATAAACAAAACGACTAAAGTATGCACGAAATTGATAGAAATTTAAATGTTTGTTACTGTCACATCTGATAAAAGTAAATAATTGATTTTTGAAATGTATTACATCGTGATAAAACTTCGACTTCGATCGATAATAAAAAACCTGTTACAATAGTATTTCAGTCGTAATTTATCCTGTTTCATACAGATACAGAGAAAGACTAGATTTATGGTTTGACTGTTTCTAAGACTAGATATTAAAAGCGGATGTATTAAATATCAAGTAGATTATTATAGAACCGGTTATAATTCTGTCTCCATTTCTTTCACTTGTCCGGTAGACATGAAACCCACTAATTTGCCATTAGGCATATAGTTTCAATTCTTGCAATAAGCATATTTTTATGTTTTATTTTCTGTCTGGAATATTCATTTATTTTGGCTTTGAAAAACGTATCAAGTATATTTGTACCAGTTCACAGTCAATACACTCATATACATTAGTCTGAATATATATATAGCAAAGATGTCGTGGTGACAAAAGTAGAGTCTTTTATATGAACTGTTTCCACCATAGACACATATTAGGGTTTTAAACAAAATATTACAAGAAACTTTAACAAGTAAGCATATTTAACACTTATTTGGGAAAAAACTGAATTTCGGCGGCGGAAAAGACTACATTCAGTCACCAAGGTTTTACCAAAAACAACTTTTCCATCTTGTTCCTAATTTTTCTCCTATACTAACATTAAGGGTACGTGTAAAGACATTGCGACATATTATGCTTTAAACTGGAATATTATCTGAATTTTTGTCACGAATTAATTCCTGTTACAAAACCTTCGAAAATTAAAAAGTATTAGATAGCTGTTTCGTCCTAGCATATGACGCTTCAATAGCACGCATTTACGACCCCTATGAGGGGGGAGGAACTTAGGGCCTTCAGGTCACTAAGTTGACATCCAGTCTATTTGCAATAATGTATGGTCATTTATTGCCACTGGAAACTACTGATTCACTCCCAATGTGTTTGAATTCGAACAATCATGACTTCTCACTAGCACTTCAGGAAAATTATAGCACTCATGTTCTTACTAGCCATAGAGTAATAAACTTGAATTAGTCGAATGTTTGAATTAGTCCATTAATATTTACTACAAAACATCACAGGTAATAAATAAATAATTATCAGAGAGGGGTTTTGGGGATATTATAGTAATTTAATAGTTGAATTCATGGATCGATTAAAGCTAGATCACCATGGAAAACCTGGAGGCACTGGACGGCCGTTTCGTCCCTGTATGAGACTTCTCAGAAGCGCGCATCCACGATCCCGCCTCGTAAGATTCAAACTCAGGACTTATTGGTCTCGCGCGCGAACGCTTAAGCTATAGACCACTAAGCCGGCATCCAACGGTGTTAATATCTAACTTCAACCAATACACGAAGTTGCGCCACCGTCCACCATTGTTACGATGGTTGAAACACCAAAAATTTAAACCAATACACTATGAAATTCTCGTATTTGTTAGTGAGACAATAAACGATAAATATACGATTGGGAAATTATTAGGCTTTAACTGAACGCTACACGTTTGGTTCTAATAATTAAGCATTCGTTGTGAGACCTTAATGTCATGCGTTAGATCTCCGGATACATGATGGATGTCCACTGCCGAGAAGTTCCGTACCAGGGCTAAAAGCTTGTCCAATACACTCTGGTTTCAGATGACAACCCAATTGAGACCAATTCATAAGGAATACAACCTGCAAAGTAAACCAATTCCCACGAAACCCTAAAAATAGCATTTATCATGCAAAAAATGAACAGATTATTACAATAACGAATAGAAGTTGAGAGTAAACTTACTTGAAAATGTAAAATTATAATCCAAATAAGGCCTAATGTTAACTTGGGATTACCGTCGACGATTTCATCTGCACGAATATTGACTATGCGAATCTATGATTTTTAAAAACAATTAAATTGGAGAAAATAATACATAAACAAAATGAATACGAAAACATGTTAATTTCAAAATGATAATGAAATAGTAAAAGAAGCTTATAATATAAAATTGATAGCATTTGTCTAGAAAATTAAACATAAAATTTATTCTTTGAAAGTAGACTATATGCGTAGGCTACATTTTCTTGAAAATAGATGTCTTCAAAGCACTGTTCAAGTTTTTCTGAACAACCGTGTAACCAATATGGAAGTCAGATGCAGGGTACTACTAGGCAAAGATGGGAGATCAGTTGATCAGGTTGTAGATCTCTGTTGACTAAGATAATTTATCTTATTCTTTTTATCTCATCGTATGACGATTTGGGCTAATCCACATCAGCGCTAGGCTCTAACGTTGATTGCACTAATTAAAGGACTAAATAAAAATCAAGTATTTATTAAGACTCACTTTTATAAATATATATGGAAAAAATGGATAAAGATAAGATAATGATAATAGAAGGGCAACATATGTGGTAAAACCGGAAAAAGACAAATAAATAGGAAAACATAAATAATGAAAAAGTAGTAGTCTGTAAACAATAAGGTTTACAAAATTTGAAAGATAATGTGTAAATTTTGTTCTTAATACTGTTGCACTGACTCAATCTTTTTCTTTTATATGTGCCATTCTGTTTTATCCCGGTGAGAATTATGAATGGTAACTATCGAGAACTATTTATGGGCAAATATTATTATTATTATTAATGTGAAATTATTTAGTATCTAGATTATGTATATCTATACTCCTCATATTACAAGCTTTACTTTGACCTATAAACTATGATTATACGATTTACCGTTCTTGAGTTATGTCCAGTCTATTAATTAGTCTCCCACATTCACAGCCACTTTTGGCTAGATCTTGTACAAATGTTATTTTCTATTTTATGGTACGATGTGGTCTATTTGGTTTGTATATAACCTCAGTATGTTTGAAATACATTATTTATATCACGGAAGCTGAGATTGGTGTTCTGGATTTAATAGGCACGGCTAGGCAGGAAGAAGAAACGATAAAGACTCTAGACTGTTCGTACTGGTTTACGCATCATTGATCCAGTTGATAAATCACTGTTCTCGAATTGACAGTATCATTACGTCATATATTAATAGGGCACAAGACCACAAGTTATAACAAATTCACAATATTAGTATAACTTATTTACCAAGTACAGATTTATAAACTCAGGTAAGAACAAATATAATTTCTGTTAGGGTTAAAGATACTATTGCTCAGTTCCTTAAAATAACGTAAGTGGATTAATAAGGATTGAACTTATAACCTACCCCTTATTGGTGCAATGCTCTTTACAAATATAAATTAACATTTATGGATTAAGAATATGTTGTACTTCTAGCTAAAAGAAAAATAGACCTTTTATCAACGATTTATGACATAATCAAAGACAATAAATGTAAAGGAATCTCAATTATTCTACTTGATAAAAAGGTTTATAATTCTATTCAGTAACTAAGGTCATTTACATGATTCTTATATTAAATGCATGTATATATATAACCGTATAATCGTATGTAAAATATTCAGTTAAGATATGTTTTAATAAATGTGATATGGTGAGCAATAAATAAGTCTAATAATTATGACTTAATTTTCTCGGTTCATGAATGGTCTCCAAAACCCATATCTAACAATCATTGACATTTTAAATGACTTTTAAACACGTTTATTTGTGTGAAAAAAATCTATGTATACCTAAACCACTTTGTTATATGAAGTGACTCATGTTTCATTGAAACACAAATATGCAATAATCAAGTTTAATAAAATTCAAAGAAATCACGACTAGGATTTGGAAACCCTATGGAGTAAATATTACCCACAAACCAATGCAATTATTTCATTGAATTTTAAGTAAACTGAAAGATATAACAACGATAAATGCACCATTATCTAGGAAATAAATTGTATTAATTGTGAGAAATAGTACATTGAATAAACTGAACCCTACCTTCATATACTAGTAAACGGAAGGAAATGATACTGAAACGACACGATGCATTACCATTAATATCAATGCACAGATACAACCATTGACATTAATTCAACTGAGAAAACTTTAAGATTCTGGGATGAAAAAATTATACTTTCTAGGAATGTAGCATTTAGATCAATAAGCAATCAGTAGACAAATCTGATTATTCAGCTCATACGAAAAAATTAAATTGTCTACATAGTCAGAGGTTAATCGAGCAAAAAGTCAATAGGAATGTAAAGACAATTAAAAATGGCAGAACCTATGAAGAAGCTCACTTCTATATAAAGTATAGGTTAGTGATGTCTTTAACGGCGGTAAAAGCGTCACAATTAAACCATCTTGATCAGAGAAATCAATAATGCCAAACGATAACTTATTTTTTTATATCTGTTCACCGGGAGCTTTTTGAGGACAATCATCTAGATTTGTGAGTAGTTACCACTCATCTACACTAGTCATAGTGAATCAAACGAGCGATTACAATCAACAAAATTTATTTAATGTTTTGCCAGTTAAAATAGAATGTTATTACCACCTATTTTCAAAAAATATCCATTAATATAGACTGAGAAATGAATACTTCGAATGTCTAGAAAGTAGTGAGAAATGTTGAATGACAACTGGAGTTATAGTGTTACCATCGAGATAGAGAGAAAAACTGAAATAAATGAAGACATCCAATTGACCTATATATATATATATATGTATTACAGTGCGTTTCAAGCACGTAGTGTAAATATGATCCAAATTCTACACGACATGTTTGAAAATTAATGAAAAGTAAGATTTGAGATAACTAAGTTTGTTATTTTTTTAAAACTAAATCTGAAGGCTGACAGATATTGAACGCAGTATTCCAATCAGTTTACGGTGTCATTAACTGCCCCCGAATGCCCTGGTATGGCCGAGAGTGGGGAGAGTCCGCTCTCCCTCTCGAAATACTCTCACAAGGCCGCGCGTATACAGCCTCTGCCAGGGAAGTCCTACTCATTGCCTTCTCGTGGCGGGGGTGTTGTTTACGAAAATGAGAGGACGAAAAGCGAATGTCCGACGCTTTAACCGGATTCCAAACCAATGGTGCACATGGGCTCCAGTATCCTGTGGGAACAAATGGCGTATGAACCAATTGTTGGTCACCGGCTTCCATGGGACTGCATCTCCTTACGATGCTCCACTGCCTTGTGGATCAGACCTTCAGGTCGAAGGCTCGGGGAGTGGCCCCCTAAGAAAACCACCTGCTTCGGTTTGGGCACTCGGGCAGTATCACACATATCGAATGAGATTCGTGTGGCGTATATGTATTTGGTGCCTCCTTGTACCAATATCTATGTGTTAAAATAAACAAATAAATAAATAGTGTCATTAACTGCAGTAGGTTGACAAGAATTTCGAATTAATAATACTATGGATTATCAAGTTCAATTAAAATGCTTTCCGACCTTATCATATCGATACAATTAATTAATAGGAAAAAAAACGAAATATCTTATGTGCACCTTTCTGAGAATTACTAAACTAGTGCGAAACCGATTTCCTAATTTACAACTGGCTCTCTTGTGCTGAAGATGAATGATTAATGTCAAAACAGTAATAACAAGACAAATGTATCTCATTCTCCATCCTCTCCTATATAATGAAATTAAATATTATCCTATAACTTTCATTATACTTGTATATCACTTCTCTACAAATTATATTTCATATGTTTAGTATTTCACTTTCATCGGTATCATTTATATTGACTTTTGTATTCCTCATTTTGTTAATTTGACAATGAAAGAACAAATCAAAAATAGAGGAGGAAATTTACGGGCAAATTTAAAATAGAACAAAAAATTACCCCACGATATCGAAGAAAATCTAATACACGTTGAATATTTTGTATCCAATGGACACGACTTTCAATGTATTCAAGCCCCTATGAAATAAAAATAATTAATAAATTAATCAGTACAAAACAACTGTGTGGTTGAAGAAATATTTATATAAACCAGAAAGTTCATTCATTATTGAAACATTACCATTATCGTTTTTTTGTTATTCTTGTTGTGAAAATTATCACTTAAGAAAAGATAAACAATGTTGTAGGTAAAAAAGGTTACATACTACTTAATGTGCTATAAGACCATTTAGAAATGAGAATACTAAAGAAAACTTCATGAGTTATAACATAAAACCAGTTACATTTGAATGGTCGTTACTTCAGTTTCATTTTTATTGAATGTAATACAATATTCATATATAAGCTTATGAATTAAGCGATTTTGAAGTTATATCGTGTCATATAATAAATAGTCCAATAATAATAATCTAATATGAGTAGGGTTTTTGTGCTTTCATATTGTTATTAATAATGAGAATTATAATTGATCAAATGTAATAAAACTCGTGAATAAAAGAGCTATGATCGAGGTGGACATCCTACAACTGAAACTAATTAATTGTGGTAGTAAATATCAACAACGCGAAAATATATACCCTTTTCAACGCATTCATATTTGTTGGGTTATTTAAATTCAGTAGCTTAGTGTATAACACGTTGGTTGAAGTGAATTTCAGTGTGAATATCAACACTAGGATACAAGTACATCCAACTCACATGTTTTGCTAATACGATCAAACGTGCATCTTGAATTTCACTGTAAGCCATATACCTAATGTATTTGAACACGTAAGTGTTTAGACCTAAATAAATACCTCTTTATAAAAAACAGCCCCCAAATACCCTGGCAAGGCCGAGAGTGGGGAGAGTTAACTCTCCCCCTCCAAATGCTCTCACATGGCCATGCGTATACAGCCGCTGTCAGGGAAGTCCAACTGACTACCTTCTCGCGGCATCACTGTTGTTTACGAAATTGAGAGAACGAAAAGCGAATGTTCAGGGCTTTAATCGGGTTGGTGGATATGGAGGATCCACCTAGGGGAGTTTGAAAACCCTCATCCCAAACCAATGGTGCACATGGGCTCCAGGATTCTGAGGGAACAAATTGTGTATGAACCAATTATTGGTCACTGGCTACCATGGGACCGCATCTTCTGAAGTCGCTCCACTGCCTTATGGATCAGATATTTAGGTCAAAAGATCCGAGTGAGTCCCCCTCTAAGTAAACCACCTGCTTCGCTCTGGGAACCCGGGCAGTACCACAGCCCACACACAAATCAGGTGGCTTGTGTGGCGCACATGTATTCGGTGCCCCTTTGTACTAATATTTATGTGTTCAAATAAATAAATAATAAATAGTAATTATGTTAGTTAAACAACCAGTATTTAAAATTTGCTTATCTATATATTTAATAGTTTAAATTCTTTTTAACTGGAGACAGAAACCATGGTTAGCTAGAACTTATGTATGTTATTATTTTAGTGATGCACGAAGTATCACATGGTTTTAACTCATATGCAATATGTTAGACACCAGAAAAGTATTGATTGAAATCAATAGCTTGGAATGCAGAAGAATAGTTGGAGAACATTGACAGGAAGGACTAGACGTAGAGATTACCTGTAGAATTTAAAACCATATTTGTCAAATATACAAAACTAAGTATCATGGCCAGAAAAGTTACATTTGAGTTACTCTTTGACTGACTCGTATAGACTGGATTTTGAACAGTAGATCGTTTTAGTAAAACATAAATTCTTTAGAGCGTCTAAAACAAGAATCTCACTAACGAGATAAACTTTTTTACCCAATTGCAATCTAAACGAACTGGGTAAATATTCGCAGTTAAGCAGTGCAACTCAGAACAAAGGATGTAGGCCAATCACTTAATCGTTGAGTGTTGTATTACCTAAACTGTAAATTGGAGTACGAACAATAAACTGGAAAAAATTGTAGTCCTTGGTCAAACAAAAAAACTATGGTGGGAGTTAGTAAACTATGTACTAATTAAATTGAAGAGTACTTGATTTATCATATTCAACTTACCAATACTTCATTCGTTAAACACTCCAATAAACGTACTAGTAAGTAACCATTACGTAAATCCAAAAATAAATCTTGAACCCAACAATTACGCTGATAGAGAAAGAAAACGAGAAAAGAGTAAAGAAATGCAATAGGTAGATGTCTTTTTTCAATGAATCATTTTTAACTGAAGAATTGAAACCAATCTAGAAGTAGACAAACAAATAGCCACAGAGAAAACAAATAAACGAAAAGCAATCAGGTACGCAATAAACTGTGAAATAGCCAGAAATTTGTGGCAAATATCCCACGAAACTTACGCATCAGATAGAACGAGAGAATCGTTTTACCTAAGTGAAATGTATCACATAAACATGAAACAATTCAATCCAATGATTATAATAATTAAATGACTGAAACACTAAACAGTTTATTGTAAAAAAAAACCTGGGTCATAAAATAATTGATAAAAATACTGATAAGTTAAGCTTGCTACATTACAATTTCTTAAGGAGTAGATGATGTGTCTTGCAGGAAATAATGTGAAATTAAGAATAAGTTATAAGGGGAATAAAATGGGATAACTATGCAAAATGAAAGTCAGTGCAAATGATAACACGAATAAAGTCATTTGTACAAGGAGAGAGAGTTCCAAGTGGTCCCGTTCAGTAATAATAAGGTTCTCGTTTATACTTCAGCATCGGGTATAGTGTAATAGGTCAATAATTTTCAAACTAGGTATCATTACCTAGGTTTGATTTGATAATTTCGAATAAATTGAACATTGGGTAGATTGTTATAAATAAATAAATAAATAATATATTTGTAACATCCCAATGAGTAGAAAAATTAGATTTTCTGACGTTTCGTGACTTAGTGTAAGCCACTTATTCAGAGAATAAGTAACCAATAATATTTAATTTTTAAACTTATTCGCTAATCAAATAACGAAAAACCTGTGAATTCTGTGGTAGACTTATAATTCTTTCTATAAAAATAACCTTGAATTTTGATTTTTTTTTCATGTTTGACAAATTACAAGTAAATTTCTATTTCAATCTATTATGAAATCAAGGAGTACTGGATAGCTATTTCATTCTAATTTGGGACTTCAACAGTAAAACAATCATTTTGCATTTACTACAACTACTTTATTAGAACTGAAGACACTGACATTTTCTAGACATAATTAAATAATTAACTAATTTACCTTAGTAATTAAATATAAGATTTCTCGGTGGATTTTGAACCTCATTTCTTATTCAATTACATAATTCAATGTAATTGAATTGGACTGTGGTGGGGGAGCCGAATCGACAGTCTCATTGTTGAAACTTGAATTCATTAACAACAAAGCCAACATTCAACGACAAATTGAAATGAATATTTTAAGTACTGAAGTTATTAATGGACTATGATAACAATTAAAACAAAGGATTGGAAACCCATACAGTGATGAACATATGAAACATATATATACTGCACAAAAATGTGAAACAAAAGATTAAAAACTAAAAGATAACATTTTAACTGCTAACGGTCAAAGAATTAAAACAGACACACACACACAAGCATTAACTGAATAACACAATTACTCATTTGTTGTTTTGTTCACTGTTCAAACGACGAACCATTACATTGATTAAATAGATTAAGCTGAAATTATACTACACGCGGATAATAATAATAATAATAATAAACGATAACGAAAGGACAACTGCTGTTATTATGTAAGAAATTGCATCATTTTGTTTTTGTTCACTGAAAAAACATAAAAACAAATCGCTTGCAGAAAAGCTAGCAAACAGTAATCGTGTAGAAACGTCAAGTACAGAAAAGCATTTATTTAAGCAACTTAACAACTGACAAGACGAAAGGGGCATCAAACGACCCTGAAAATCACTACCAATCACGTAAAAAACATCAATGTTCAATAGAAAATAATACGAAAAAAGCTTAACAAGCACAGTTTATCATCTTTCGTTGATAACTATTTCAGTTTCGACTAAACATATGTGTAAATCATGAACAATAAGATACTGTCTTAACAAATTACATCCCAAACTCACTCTTATTTTAAATTTAATTCAACTCATTTATAAAGTACATATTTGTCACCTAGCTTTCATTCACATTCTAGGCATGAAAAGTGTTGATGCTAATCGGTTTGCCAAACTGAAGTAGGTGGAGTGGAGTTGGAACCTTTAACGTCATAATTAGAGAGCCACTATTCACGTTTAGTTAGTCAACCAGTCAAAATCAAGAAGCGCTAAACAGATGATATCATATTTGAAGCGATGACTATTGCATTCGAGTTTTAGTGTGGATATCTCAACAGTGCTATCCAAAGAAAGCCAACTGTATAACTACCAGTCACAATACAAAAAGAATAACTTCAACGAATCTAAATTGCCGTTACATACGGCGTATGTGCTTGCGGCTAGAATTCAGAAAAAAAGCAACCACATCCATAAATGTAATTTCCAGCATTAACTGACATTTAAATTATTTATCATATATAAAAATAAATTTAATGATATTCAAACCAAGTTTATATGTGAAGATAAAAAAGAAAGTATTATTCATCTGTTGTCATTAATTCCTTGAACTTTAAATCATACTGAATAAGAATTTTCACATGAATAAATCACGAAATATTATGAATATTTTATGACCATTTAGAAAGTTAACTAATCAAAAATAGTAATAATGTGTTATGACCGCAGATAGGAGGGATAGATAGTTGTTTATTACTATGGTAAAAAAAATATAGTGATCATAAAACATAATCCACTCAGGACATAGTTATTGCATTACAAGAATTGTACCAACCAGTAAGTACTAAACCGTGTTCCATCTTATGAAAAGCGCGCATGAGTGAAACCAACTTATTTTAACTGCAATAATACTACTAACAACAGCTAACTATTAAGCTATGCTATAATCAATTACAATCATTTTCATACTGTCCTCAATATAATAATAATGTAATTACTCATCTACATAATGATGTAATCGGTTTTACGCTACCAATTAATATCAGAATAGGTTTTGTGGATATTTTAGAAATTTCACAGGTTGAATTCATGAGTCAATTGAAGCTAGACCACCATAACAAACCTGGAAGCACTGGAAGGCCGTTTCGTCTCTGTATGGGACTCCACAGCAGTGCGCATCCACGACCCCGCTTCGAGGGACTCGAACCCAGGACCAATCAGTCTCGCGCCAGGCGCTTAACCAACTAGACCACTGAGCCGGCATCCAACGGTGTTAATGTCTAACTTCAGCCAATCCACGAAGTTGCGCCACCATACACCATTGTCTTCGGTGAGTTCCTATCACACAACAGACCTGGTTGAACTCCACTGGTAAGGACTTCACACTAGAACTCCAGGATTATCTCCTGGAGTCAGTCACTAGTGAGCAGGTGATACCAATTAAGTTGTATGGGAACTAGTGACATCACTCGGAACTAATTTTAGTGGGAGATATGGGGGTTAGAACCTTAGCGATAATATACACGTATATATAATGTGTTGTGTAAGGGTGTTTAATTTATTGAGGTATCATAACGGAAAAACACAAAGATACAAAATAATTAAATCTTTCGTTAAAAGATGTTATTGAAATTAAATTAACTTGTGAAACATAACTAATAATGACGAGAATCTCTTGTATCACTATTCTTTCTTTCATCATTCATAAACCATTGGAATAGTAGAAATTATGTATATAATAGTGTAGTATATACAAACATGACTTAAAACTAGTTTATTTTCTAATATGATAATTGTGACAAACAATCGTGAAAAAAGTAGTACATATAAGTATAAACAACAAATCATTGTAAATAATTCCATGGAATTAATTTACAGCAAGAAATCACTTTAGCCCGATAAGTTCAGTCATTTGGTATCTACATGAATAAGGAAGATGCGCTAATTAATGTCAAACTTTTCTCAGTGTCGATAAAAATAAATAGGTAATGTTAAGTATTTGCCGAATACAAGTTCATATTTAGGGGGATATTTTGTATGAAGGTTAATAATGCTGCTAGGCTACTATAACTGTATAGTAGAGGAGGATGGTTAAAATCTAAAACCTATTGATTAATAACTAAGTGTTTGGATCATTAAGTTATCGCTTCAACTTAGTTGGTGGTTTTTTCAAACAGTTCACCCCCAACTCGGCTTATCTGAAGTGAAAGTATGAATTGAAACACAAAATATATATTTTAAGATAAAGAAGAAAACTGAAACGAGAACACAAATGTTAACGTAAAAATTACAAAATGAATTTCTAGCATACACAATGTTATCATCTGGTGAGAAACATTTCACCATCTTATATAAATGTCCACCAATATTGTTACTAACAGATAAACTAGTCTTATTGTTCAACCTTTCAGAATAAGATACTATTTAAAAAGAGATAATTCATTAACAAATGCACATGCACATACACACACACACGAAAAGAAAAACGATACAATTTCGGAATTTTAAATTTCATTTTTTCATAGCTCACACAAAAAACGGTAGTATCATCTGCAAAACAACATGTGCATATCTAATTTCTGATAAAAAAAGAAAAATTTTTTTTCCAAAAAAAAGGAATATTCTTAGTGTGACTACACCTGATTTGTGAAATTTCGACTGTGATACCGAAATTTTCACAGTGAATGTAAAAAAAAGAACATTAACAGGGTTTTTTTTTGGTATTTTTAAAGCGGGAATTGTAGTGATTGATATAAACGTGTATAAAAAAATAGAGTGAAAAACTATCTTCTTTAGAAATTACTGCACATAGAGTCAAATGATTCAATAAATTATTCACAAGAAAGAATGATCAATCGATGCTTAGAGAATTAAATTACAGCCTGTCTCTATTCAAATTAGATAATCTAGATATAGACACAATGTGTAATAACATGTTAAGCTTCAAATTGACAACCATTGTAGTGATCAATACTGAAAGAGTTGAGATGATTAACGCTTTCCATTATAAATGGCATACTTATATGCTATTAAACCCTTCAGAGTGGAAATATTGACCAAAGAGAATATTCGAAAATATTCAATATGATACTACTCTGTATATAAAGTAATATA